TAGCGGTGGATACCATTGTAGCAGGGTTAGGGATGTAGGACGGGGGTGGTAATTCGGGGAAGGATTCGGGAGAAGTTTCGGGTACTCCGGGTTGACGGGGAGGACGATTGGCGGGTTGTTCTGAAGGGAAGTCGTCTGCGGAGGGTGTTACCCACGCCGAGAAAAGGGTGAAGGGGAGTTTATCACCGGCGCAGGCGGCATCATTCGTCAGATCCCATGGCGCGGCATCCGGGCCGAGAACGCGACGTACTTCCGCGCGAAGATAACGGTCGCGAAGATCATCTATCTTACCACGGATATTCAACCGCGCGTGGACCATCAATTTAATTAGCTCGACGATCTCGAGCTCACTGATGTGCGTCCGCATCTCGCGGGCTTTGGCGGAATCCATTTTCGCGAAATGCGAAAGAGGAAAAAAACGGGGTTCCTTGCAGGAAATCTTTCGCGAGATAATAGGGAAAAGAGACAAAAAATGGGCAAAAGGGTGTTTAGGAGTCCTGAAAAGAAAGGGGTGCAACGGGAAAAGGAAACAATTTGAAATCACACAATAAAAGAAAATATCCTGAAAATAAGGGGAAAAGAAAATCGAAAATTTGGCACGATAGGGTGCCCACGGCCGGCAAAAGGCACGACCAGGGCCCTCGATATCGGCAAACCGCGAACAAATTCTACTTGGGAGGGCACACAAAGAAATACATATATTTTCGGCACAGATAATTCTCAGTATTGCGTTCCAGCGGTCGAAAACGGCTTGTCGGTTGAGCGAAAGACGGTGTTTGTCGTCCTCTGTGCCTCTTAGGATCTGTTTCCAAACACCGCGCCGCGTTCGACCGGCAGGAGATAGAAAAAACGGCAACAAGAGGCAACGGTAATTTCTACGTAGTATTTCAAAGTCTTTAAGATTTCAACGGTGGGATTTGGGATACTGGAATTTTCGACGCGAGAGTTTTTGAACTTGTTTAATTTCCTGGGCCCCACGTTGGGCGCCAATTTTGTGACCCGTTGCTCGCGAGGTGCACTCTGTACTTTTAGTCTTTTGTTACAATAATTCGTTGGGCGCCAGCCACGTTCCGTGGCGAGGAGGGATTGGGAAACAATAAGGGTCGTTACAGGGACTCGATTACCGTTGTGGGACTCAGAATATACAATTTTAAGGGGGAAATAGTATATAAGGCACTCACCGGTGCTGCACCTTCCTCACGCACAAAATACGCTTCACAACTCGTCTTATAGATGAATCGTTTTATAGACGATCGCTTTGAATCGCTTTGAATCGTTTTGAATCGCTAAGAATCGCTAAGAATTGCTAAGAATTGCTAAGAATCGCTAAGAATCGTACGTCGTAACGCAAAGTGATGGGCGACGGGCGACGGGTCGTCGTCGCAGGGAATTTTGGGGAGGGGATGGGTGTGAATTTCGGACATCTCTCGGGCCTGGGATTGATCTATTATTGATCGGCCGGTAATCGGGATCGATGGGGGCTGACGGAGACTTGACGGTGACGGCTGCGGGCTGTGCTGTTCTGGCTCGGCGACAGATGGCTCCAGCTGGGCTCTCTTTTCGCCTTATCTGGGCTGCTGGGACTATTCATCTTGGGGTCCATCGTGGCTCCCTTTCTTGGGAGGGATTGGTGCTGTCGCTGGCCTCGAAGCTCCTCTTGGGGTTGTCCGCTTCTTGGGGTCCTTTCCGTCGCCTCCATCGGCGCGATACCGGCGGGCAGGGAAAAGGGGTAAGGTGACGGAAGAGTTTCTTGGTGGGTTACCGTGTTAGAGTGGGAGGTGGGAAAGCGCAGCGATTGTAACGGGGGGCACACGTGACACCACGTTGCAAGCTATACTAATATGTTATTACCACAGTAATATAAAAGTAGTGCTCTTACATTTTCAATAACAAATCGCGTTTTTTCAGATTGTTTGTTCGGTTTTTCATTTCTTACAACTAGGATTTCCAATAAAAAAAATCTGAAAAAATTTCCTAATATGCACTACTGTGTTTGTAGTGTATCAGAATTTTTTCTGAATTTTCGGATGTTATTAAATAGGAGAAATGGGCCACGATCTCGCGTCTCTTTTGCCTCTCGTCACTGCCCCCCTGGTTAAGATAAAGAGTTGAAAATTGGTGTACAGTATTTTCTTTTGATATGTTATCGAATGACCCATTCTGAATTTAATTTGGTTCAAGGGCCATTTTACCTACCTTATCCGGCTATACTCTTTCAACTTTCTACCTCCGGTGGAAGTGCTCAATGTAAGTGAAATTACTTTTATGATCCAACTCCAGTAGGCGGGGTCAAACACAACTTTTGAGGATTTTTTGATTTTTCCCTTTACTTACACACCCAGGCAGATCATCCTACCAAATTTCAGCTTTCTACATACAGGGAAAGAGCCCAATAATTTTGATGAGTGAGTGAGTCAGTCAGTGAGTGAGTATCAAAATCGCAAACTTTGATTGGCTCCATCTTTACACCGGTCCGACCTGAAAGGTTGAGCTTTTCGTAGTCCCTTTAGCTCTTCTCGGTATTCTTTTTTCTTCAGGAGGTCCTGACAGTTCCTCGCAGTAAAACTTCTGTGAACTTGAAATATAAACTAATAAGATTGCTCCTTGTTAACTTAATTCACTATGGAAAGTGCGAGCTTCACTCCCCGGCGCAACATTGGTGACAGCGGTGGGATGGGGCAGTCGATGGATCTTTCGATACATCAAAAAGCGGTCGATGCGTCGAAAGAGCGGCAACTTCTCGCCGTCGCAACAATATTTTAATATTTTATGTCTATTATCATTTTCATACTTTATATATTTTATATATTTCAATATTATATGTATCTCATCATATTTTAATATTTTTATCTTATAATATACTATTTTTGATTCATCTTAGTCAATTTTAAATTTCTTTAACATAACCTTTTGTTAGCCTCCTGTATAAATCCTATTATATTAACGATCTGATGAAAGGGCCCGTATGGGACTAGCGTATCTCCGAACTCACAAACATTTAGACCCAATAGTAATAGAAATTGTTAGGGTACATTTTTCGACTTTGCAGCGTCACACGCGCGTTACGTTACCGTTAAGGGGGTAGACACGGCACGTGACCTCTCCGATTCGGGACATCGGTATTGCAGCAATTTTTTCGTTGGGCCTGGTGGAGCCACTTGCGTGGTCTGTTACGAATTTGAAAGGTTTAATTCTCAGCTAGCGTGCGCGCAATACGATCTAGGAAGGCAACAGCGCCTCAAGTATTTTTACAAACACATTCAAACGCTCATCTCGCCAGAGGTATCGCGACAATATAGCTGAAGAACAAAATCGAAACATTGACGCGTGTTTAGAGTGAGATGTACGGTGATCATGCTATCCTTCTTTGAACCTAAATGATAGAATTGTCCCGCTCCGGTAAATTCTGACTGACTGAACGCGTGGATTTTATATGGCGCACCGTAGCACGCCTCGCTGCTGAAAAATATATGCCTACTCTGAAGAACCGAAGGAACGTGCAATCTGAGAATTTTTTTAGAAAAAGTTATTAGCTTCTTTAAATAAATGTTTTTTAATTCATAAAAGCATACAGCGTGCGTCATGCAATTTCTGACGAGTTATATCTTGAATTTGGTAAGAGATAGGAAAAAGCTGTTTATGTAAAAGTTCAACAGTATGATAATGTCTATTTTTCTGTGACTTCATTTTCTTCGTGAATGCAACGATGCACTAAAAAAATTTTAGTGGCCTAAAAATGCTTCGATTCCGCGAATGCATTTTGTCGACTTTTTACCTCTAGTTTGGACGCTTATATTACTAAACATCAACATAATCCCATTGAAATATGAGTTGAACGGTGTGCATTGGACCTTCCTCTTTCGAATAAGCCCTCACCCAGCCCTAAATGTTCTCATACAAGGACGAATAACGGAAGCGCGTAAACCCATCTTTATGCCCATTTTTGCCGGTAATGTCAACGCGCTACTATTACCCGTGTCTACCCCCTTAAATCACATTGCTCGATTACCACACTACCACATTCCATACTTTTACCCTCATACAACAGCTCACTTACACACGGTAGCGTCCCGAGCACACGCGCGCGCATCGCACGTAACAACATCTCAACTGCTCCCTATACCAATAATGTTTGCTTGAAACAGCCGACTACGTCAAATCAATTGAATAATTCTGTAAACGAGGAGAAATAAAAAATGCAACAACATTTATCAAATTATAAAGAAAATAGGGAAGGAGAATTTTGGAAAAATGATGAAAATGTTTTGGAAAAAATTGATGATATACTATACGCGGATGAAAACGAAGTAATGGAAAGTGAAATTTTCTCGATTAACAATAAAATGAAAGAATCGATTGGTAAGAGGGGAAATAAATTGGAAAGAATGGCGAGTAGAGCTTCTTTTATAATCGAGTCAAGCATTTGGGTTGAAAAGCTGGAAAGCTCGAGAACAAATTCCCCTGATCGTTTGAAAAGCATGTTGGAAAAAGCATGACAGTCCATTAAAAATGAGTAACAAAGATAGAAAGCTGTTGAAAATGATTCTTGTGATATTTTCATCGTTTCTCATCTATTATTTACCGATCACTATTACAGATGCTATTAAAGATCACTATTTAAAGATGCTATCGATTGGAGAGGATTAAATATAGCTGGCTATATATTAATTTATTTAACCACTTGTATAAATCCTGTTGTTTAAGTGGTAATGAGCTCCGAGTACAGAAGTGCTTATAAAAATGTGTTATTTTGCAGAAATGAAGTTAAGAAAGAGGCTCGGAAATCATTGAAATAAAAAAAGACAGCTGCTTTTTCATTTTATTTCAGCTACTATGTATGTATGGTATGTCCCTACGTATATAGGTAAGTATGATGAAATAGTATTTATGCTACCAGATCAATTCATGTAATTGCTTTGAATATGAAGAAAATTACTAGATAGAGAGCTCATTAATATTAAATAATTAGGATTTGAATCAGCACATTCCATAACTAAAGCTATTGGTAATTTCATGTATGTATTTAGAGAAATATGTATACACAACTGATAAGCGCACAATACTTTGTTAACTTAACAGATTTCATAAAGAATGCGATCTGAATGTAACGTTGAGAATGTTGAAAATATAGAATATATTACTCATTTCTAATTACAAACTAATTTATAAATTAATTACATATTATTTTGTAATAATCCTTAAAAACATGAATAACAAGACGCATTTAAATAAAATGTTATTTAACAGTAACGACGACAATGACAATAACGACAATAACGATAATAACAATAACAATAACAAAAAACACTATATACAAACTAGTAAAATTGTTTACAAAATAAGCGAAAAATTACTTATCATTAGATAGTAAAGAGAACTGGAAAAAAAAACTGTATTACGTAATTTAAAAACTGTTTTTAACAATCTATTTCAATATTCTGTGATCCTAATTAAATAAATTTCAACAGATCGAGCAACTTATATATTATTATTGTATTGTATACATTGTATTACGTCGCCATTAAGTTTTGAGCGAAGACCGAAGACCAAAGACCGTAGATCTGTGCTCTATTATACGTATATATGTACATACATTAGGGATGTGGTAGTACCCGATATTAAGGGCTCGGGCGCACTCGCAAAAGATCGGGCGGGCTCGGGCGGGTGTCCGATAGATGCGTGCAGTCGGGTAGGCCATTTAGGGTATGGTGCGGATAAAATTGCTAATGCTTGCAATTCGTTACAAGTATTATTTTTCCACATAATAAAAATTATCTTCTTCCAAAATTCCATATAAAACAGATTTTGCTCATGCTTATTGCAAGTATTAACAAGTACAGAAGCATCAGGCCGCGACTCGCAGCCCGCAAGAGCTCGTCCGAATCTGCCCGACTTTATCCGATCTGACCCGAAACAGTCGCGATACCCGACTGACGCATGTATCGGACACCTGCCCGAGCCCGCCCGATTTTTTCCGAGCACGCCCGAGCCCGTAATATTGGATACCTGCACATCCCTAATACATACGTACAACATCAATCATAATGTCCGTTCGTCTAGTGAAAAAGCACTGAAGGGGAAGGTGTCCTTACCATCTCATTTACATGAAGCATAATAGGTGCGCGTTCGCGCACGACCTCTCATCCACATGAGGTGGTAAGGGCACCTACCCCTTTAGTGCTTTTTCACTAGACGAACGGACACTATGATTGATATTGTACCTGATAACGTAGATCCACCCCCTTGCGATTAGAGGTACGTAGTAATTGTCTAGATTTGGGGAACTAACGGTGAAAAGATCGCCGCGGTTTTCTTTGCGTTAAAGAAAAGAAAGGCCTACTTAATTGCTGTCTAGGTTAGGCGGTACCGTAGCACTTTGTATCGTGCTAATATTCATGGTGGGCGGCCATTTTTTCTGCTCATCGTCTTGGCCATTCGGAGACTGTGGTGTCACTTTGGTGATATCCAACTTATTCTTATCCATGTTCTTATAATATAAAGCACCTGCTGCTCCAGTTGCACAAGCTCCGACGAATATCGTAAACCATTTCATAAATCTATTCGGTAAACGATGAACGTTGAATCGAATAAACGTTTAAAAAAAAGAAGAAAAGAAACATTCTTTATTCAAAGCAACTACTCACCCGACGATACTTATCACTCTGAACAAGGTCTTTACTATTTTCACGTACTCGTCGTCCAGTAATATACCTTCTTCTATCCAGAATAACGGGAACAAACATTCCGGGAAATGTTTCATTAATTTCACTTTTTCCATCGGATGAAGAAACATATTAAATTGCAATCTTTGCGCTGCCTTTAACGGAGTGGCTGTCATTGGTTCTAAATCCATAGCAATCTCGTGTTTCTCCTGCAAAAAAGAATTGAACTTATTGTTAGAGTACTGGGCTAGCTACTAGGCTTTATGTATGTAGCTGCCTTTCAAACGGTAAGAGTTCCTTTTAGCACCCCCTCTCAATTGACTCAAGAATTACCAGGCAAACTTCTCATGAGTTGTAACTAAAAAAAATATTAATGTGGACGCGCGGAAATTTTTTTTGGAGAAAATTTTTTTTTGATTCTACAGAATAAATTTTATTACAGGAGCAAAAATGAGCAAAAAAAACTACAGAAACTTCAAAAAATAACCTAACCTAACCTAAACCTAACACCTAACAGGATTTACTGGATATTTTTGCCATTGATTATGGCGAACTGTCCACATAAATCACGACGGTGAATTGATGTGATTGGTTAGATGAATTTATAAAATCTCGTTGTTGTTGTCTAGAAAAGTAAGATGGCGATGATGGAAATGGCCGCAATTTTTCATGAACCAAGAATTTCCGCGTCACCTGACTTACCCACGTGACTATTATGCATGAGAAGTTTGCCTAGAGATTTTTAACTCAATTGAAAGGGGGCGCTAAAAGGAACTTCACCCGATTGTGAATGAAATGAAGAAAAGTTTGCCTTGTCCGGATGAAGTCCTTCGACCATTTCCAGATACTTTTCGTCCGAGCCATAAAAGTGTGGTAGAGAACCAATGATAGGCGAGCCCATGCATTTGTACAAATCCTGCAGATTCTTTGTTAAGCAGGTATCCGGTGTAGGGCAATAACATTTCTCTTCTGGATTTGTACTCATATCTCCTAAACCGGCTGTATAATGGTACGTGTTGATACCTATAAAACAAACAAACTATAAAAAAGTTTGAAAGGAAAATTAGCTGTTACGGGCTTTTACCTTTAACCGTGGTCCTGTGACTGTACTGAACGCCCATGTTCCTGCAAAGATCCGCCGCGAACGTCATAATCTCATCTCCTTCTTTGATGAACGGTGCAAAAATCGTGGTATCCGTGCCATTGTACTGATTACAATGTTCCGCGCTCCAAATCGACATCTCTGTTTTTCCATCGAACTCGACCACCCGTCCCACGTCCCGATAATTCTTTATTCCACGGAACACCCTGATGCGTTTCGCTGCCGCCGAGCCATTTCTCTATGCCAATAAATTAAGGCTAATTAAAAGGTTAATCTTATCGATGTTTACCATCTACCTACACCAGGCCTGTCCAAGTAGGGCAGGCCTGTCCTAGTAGGGGAATTCACTCCTGGAACACATGTTTTGGGTCCCCTTCCAACACTGCTCCTTCAAGTAAGATGGGACCGAGGAGACAATACCGCCGCTAGGAAAGACGGAGAGACGGTAGTCAGAACCGTCCCATCTTACTTGAAGGAGCAGCGTTGGAAGGGGACCCAAAACATGTGTTCCAGGAGTGAATTCCCCTACTTCAGGCCTGTCCAAGTAGGGGAATTCACTCCTGGAGCACATGTTTTGGGTCCCCTTCCAACGCTGCTCCTTCAAGCTCCATCTCTCCGAGGAGACAGTACCGCCGCTAGGAAAGACGGAGAGACGGTAGTCGGAACCGTCCCATCTTACTTGAAGAAGCAGCGTTGGAAGGGGACCCAAAACATGTGTTCCAGGAGTGAATTCCCCTACTTCAGGCCTGACCTACACGGACAGGAGAGCAGAGCTAAGGAAGAAATAGCAAATTACTCTTACAGAACCAAATAAAGAGAAGCGGTAACGTCCCTCGCCGTCCGATAATAAACCATTCTCTTCAGCTTTTCCTTTTAAAACGTTACAAGTCGCAGCTCCGGCAAAGTCTTTCACTGTACAATCGATAGGCAAACCATCGAAAAGTATATCCTTCGCTTTCGCTTTGACAAACACGGTGCCGGGTTTCTTGAAAATACTATCCACCGCTTTATCTACAAAGTGCAATCAATTAAACATCAACAGCACTATTAAGTTGATGCGAAATGAATGAATAGGTAACGAATATAGGTATGGACTATTACGCAAACTACTTGTTACGCGTACTTTGCATTCAGTGATTCATCATCACACAAATTGCAGTTAAAACTATTGTTATGAATCATGTAAAAGCTTTTACATTTTTCTATTACGCAAATGAAATATCAGAAATCAGTAATCAAAAATAAGTTTGATACTTTATTTTTATCATGGTGTGAAATCGAAACACGCAGTAGTAGGTGTGAAATTGATCCAACGAGCCGTTTATAAGATTTGTCGCGATACAGTGGAAAGCAAGGGTAAATGATTCGTTATCTATAAGTTAGCTATAAGTAAAACGTTTCTCACGACCGTTTTTTCTTTCGGTCACTTAACAATTCTTAGCTAAGGCCAACTCGACCTTTACCTTTGATCGAAACAAACCAATTCGATTTTATTTAATATCCGGAAAGAAGAGAATAGAAATTTTTTCTTTTTCTCTATCTTTTCCTAGTCTTTTTAAAGAAGAAGAAGAATAAAGAAAACACACAAGATAATGGTACACTCACTGACGATTCCTATTGCGCTTGGTTGTTCGATTAGCGTAAGTTTAATCATGCCCAGTATAAAAAGATGAGGCACAACCAGTTCTTCTTCGCCGGTTAAACCGTTGCTTAGCGATGGATTAAAGTACCAGGTCGATTTGAAATTGTACTCGACAGTGTCGTCTTCTTCTCGATCTTCTAGATTCACTTTATGCTTGTATTCGCTATAAAATTTCATAATAAATAGCTATTCGTCATTCCTTTCTCCTCTGTTTGCTCTATGCTTACTCGTAAAAAAATGGTCCCACTTCTTGAACAATTGGCTTAGCTCCTGCCAATATTTCCGTAGGATTGGTTACGTTAAAAATATAAATTTTGAAGTCTAACGGAAGCGGGAAAGTGGCCCATAGTTCGCGCATATCTGCGCCAGGTTTTAGCCCCACTTGCTAAAATTTTTCATATTTTATAATTATTTTAAAATGCAAATACCGACTCGTTAATAATTCTACGATTACTGTATGAAAATGATTATTAGTAGAGTTACGTTTCTTCAATTTTTTCAGAATCATCTGTTTTAATTGGATGAAAATATAAAACAATAAAAGAAAAATCTACATACTTGCAACGAATAAATAGCAGATTCTGGTACGATGAAATGTAAAATGAGACGATTATATAAAGTTGGAATTAACGTGTCTGATGATGGACGACTACCACACAAAGTGCTAATTACTTGAATTACTAGTATTTAAATAATGACGAGTTAAATATCAATGTTTATGAAACAAACCAGTTTAATCTATTGCCCTGCATGCACGGTTATCGACTATCAACTAACTAATTACAATATGTAATACAATAAGAAAACGTTTTTTTAAATATCGAATAAATCTATAAGACAATGGAGAGAGGTTCGGGAAGAAGAATCTAACTTACCTTCTTAATTTGTGATTTTAGAAATGGAGGAAAAATCACGGCACAAACGAAAATTCCAAAACTAAGCATGGACCCACCGACAATTCCAAATATTTTCGGTTTCATATTAACACCCTAGAAACATCACAATTAATGACAAATACTAATCAACTTTCACCACTCCTTTAACCAAGTCAAAATCAAACTGAAATTCCGAAAGCAGTATTCATACGATCAAGGAGGAGATAACGTTAAGTGGAGAAAGAGGAAAAAAAATAGAAAAAGAAAATAATATTAAACGAAGCAACATTGGGAATTTGATAGAAACTAAAATGGTAATTTGATAAAAAATGTAACGCCAGAAAATATTCAGGATCGTTTGACGATAAATCAAATATACGACGATCAAACTCTGAATACCTTGCATCTGTTCAAAGTACGAAGAGTATTTCGGCTTTTCGTTAAATACGATAACCAGCTTGAAATGAACGTGTACGTAAGATCGAGGTATCGACGAAAAATACGTGTAAATGATTTATAAATTAGTTGTTTGATATTCATTTCATTTCCACTGTAATTAGCCTGGCGTAATCATCGCGACGCTATTAGATAGAATCCTCTTTAGTTTTCACTTTTCGATAGAAGGATGATAAGAAATATCATCGAGCGATCATACCTTGAGATCTCAAGAATCACCGGTGATCTACGATGTAGAGATCGTTGATAAACGATCTGAATTTTATTTCGCGATGCGACCCGGCACACTTTCGTTCTGATGGATCGTCCTCGTCGTCGACGATCGTCGAGTATTCGCGAAGAAGAACTGTTTCGTCTCGAGGAGCGTCAATGTCGCTAACCGACGACCACGACCTTACGCGTCCATTCCTGCGTCACCACGTATCGTCGATTTTTTCCCCTCAACTTTTGCGTGGCCACGTTCACGATCAAGCTGGAAGGATGATTCGTGATATTTGGAATTGAATAGGAAAGTATAAACCGAGCTGGTTCCTTGATATCTACATATATGATGAGAAGTGAAATTATAAAATAAATAATAAATTGTCGTATTTTGATGTAGTTTTAGAATAATCCTTTGGAGTTTCAAGCCTCATAGAGCCTATAGTTTAGAGCAGTGGTTTTTAACATTTTTAAAGTCAGGGAACACTATATGAAAAATTTGTGGAACAGCAAAATTAATGATCCAAAAAATAAACAAAAACATCCCGCGTAGAAATAAATATATTATTAAATATATTTAATATGTTTTAAAATATATAGTTTATATATTTGATGAAATAGAAAAATAATATATAGACATGACTTTTATTAAAAATTAAACTGATTACTCCTTTCATAACAGAAAAAATGAAATTAATTATAAATATATACATATATATTCTTGAACGAAATTTATTTCAGGCTAAAATCATTTAATGTGATACCTGAGCTTCTGCAGATTTCCGCGATATTAGGTCTAATATTTGATATAGCTACTCTTAATTCTTCGTATAAATTGGTAAGTCTTCTGCGTTTCTTAGTTTTTATATTGATTATTGTCAATAAATCGAGCTCGCAGAAATATGAAGTTGAAAACTAGCAAGATTTTCAGTGCCCTTATGAAGAGAACTGGGTATTCGTCTTGGACAAATCCACGTTTTATTAAATTAACACTTATATTATAAAAATCATTAAAAAAAAAATTCGGCTTTCATAATTTCGCGGAACACCGGTTAAGAACCAGTGGTCTAGAGTCTAGACGACTAGGGATGATCTATTCTTCTACAACGAAGAAGAGAGCAAAGAACAAATTAACAAGGGGACTAATTTTCAAGTCCCTTCCATTATTCTAGAAATTAGTAAATATTGCTTTATATTATAGATATACTTATATAGGTATACATACATACGTATAGATTAGCGTTATAGATTTATTCGTGAACGAGTAGCTACCGTTTGTTTCCGTGTCAAGTATAACGCCTATCGAGCGGAAAGGTGTAGAATTATCTATTAAATATGAGCTTTCTATAGATACCTGTTACACGCTAGAACACACGTTCGATTTCAAAACCTTTACGTTATCAGTTTCACTTGCAACTTGTGTCAAACAGACTTACTTGAATAATCTAACCATGTACCTATACCTAACTGTATTAAATGTTAACGAAAAATAGACAAAGTATGTTTCGAATAAGATTAACACTTAATAAAATGTATAAATGAAATAGAGTACTCGTGGAAGAGGAATACTTGAAATTTATTTGAATGAAATAAAAATTGACGATTGCAAATGTCCCATTGCCACGTGCCTGATTTATAAATATTAATTTCAGTTTCATAATGGAATATAATTGTCTTTCAGGGAGAAAAAAAAAAAAAGGAATTGTTTCGTAACCAATGAATCGAGATACGACGATTATCCTTGGAACACCGACTGCTGTAATTACGTTGATAGTACCAACTACACATATGTCTGCGAATGAACAACTATCGAAAGCCGTTGAACACGGTTTAATCAACGCAACGTAGATAAATAGAAAGCTGACAATTAATCAATCATAAACGAACAATTACTTGGTAGCGATAGGAAAAATGATACATCGAGTAAGTACATATTATAGTAAGCAAAGTTTCAAATGAATAACTTATAACAAGCAGGAGTTTGAATAAATTCACCTTTGACATCTACAATTCGTTCGTTTCCTTACAGAGAGACACTTCCTTTAAGTGAGATTTTATGTTTATTTAATTGAATTTATTGAAAATTACCCAAGTATGGACTATGGGGTACGTAAGTATCCCATTTGACCTGGTTAACATACATGTTGGTTGCTAATATTATCAGTTCTTTGTACAATCACCTTTTCTTTATTTTACAACTCATATTCTATATTTATGATAAACGTTACCCTTCCTTCTAAATAAACACCTTTTAAAACATCTTAACACGTTGAACGCCACAGTGAAATTCGGCATTTTTTATAGGACGTATTAAAGCTCTAATTACTAAGAATAGTAATAATTAATTTTCAAATTTCAAGCTTTCTATTTGCCACTTTACTAAAATAATGTTTTTCTATTGTTTTCTTTTAATTATTCAACCGGTCACCGGTGACCCCCATGGCGTTCAACGTGTTAATGTTCGACGCGAAGAGACGAGCACTTACGTTCCACTGAAACCTTACTTAAGCCATCCATGGTGTTTGTGAGCATGAATGGCAACAGGTACGGGATAAGGTTTAGGGACGTGATAAGGTACAGCTACGTGCACAGGGTACGGTCTGTCGATGTGAACGATCTTCTCGTATGGAACCGGGTACGGCTTCGGTACGGGTACTGGAACGGCTACAGGCCGATCTACAGGTACGTGAATCGTCTTTTCAACCGGTACTGCAACTGGTCTGTCAACGTGCACCAGCCTCTCCACGTGAACGGGATACGGTTTTGGTACCGGAACTGCGACTGGCACAGCAACAGGGCGATCCACTGGTACCGGTACCGGTATCGGTATGTGTTTCGTCACAGGAACTGCGACTGGTACCGGATGTGGAACAGGCTGCGGCAACGGCAACGGTACCACCGCTGTTTCAACAATGAAATCGTGTTTCCATTGGATGTTGTTTGATAACGAGTAAAGAGTAACAACAGTAGTAGGCTTCCATAAAGAAAATGGCAGCTACAAGAGGGATGAAGTTCCTTTTAGTACCACGTTTCAATTGACTTTCAAATCCCCAGGTAAACTTCTCATGCATAATAGAGTGACGAGGGTAAGTCACGTGTCGCGGAAATTCTTGGTTCATGAAAAATTGCGGCCATTTTCATCAGCGCCATTTTACTCTTCTAGACAAAAACAACGAGATTTTAAATGCATCTAATCAATCACATCAGTTCAGTTACGGTGTTTGTGAGTGCATTTTTTTGGCCGCCATCTTATTTGCTTTCTCAATCGCAACTCTACGTTGTTCTCTCGTTCGCCATAATCAATAGTAAAAATATCCAGTAAATCCTGTTAGATGTTAGGTTTAGGTTAGGTTAGGTTATTTCTGAAATTTTATAGTTTCTGTTTTGCTCATTTTTGCTCCCGTAATAAAATTCATTCTGTAGAATCCCCCCAAAAAATGGCTGCGCCTCTGCATTAACGTTTTTTTGACTTACAGCTCATGAGAAGTTTGCCTGGTAAGTTTTGAGTCAATTGGACGGGGGGTGCTAAAAGGAACTCTTACCCACAGGGGAACGAGAGTTTATCGGTCTGCATTAGAAACAGGGCCGGTTTTAGCAATATTGACGCCCTGGGCAAAATTATCGTGGCACCCATTCAGGGGTTCAACATTTTTAAGAAAAAAAGACAAGGTAATAATATGAAACGATGAATCTGTAGTTAGATTGTAAAAATTGTTAAACTACATAGAAGCTTTACTAATTTAAACGGATATACAGTAAAAGCTGGATTTATGCAACAAAAGTTTGGCTGGATATATGCAACATCGCTATCCCCTCCACTTGGGAGGATCCCCCTTAGCGAACCGAGCCGCTCGACGTGGAAACCGTGTAATATGATCCGACCGTAATATCGGTGTGACTAATATTAATTGAACGATAAAACTTTTTTATTTTTCACTTTTTTTTAATGAAACTTTTACTAACGCATTTGTGAGATTTTTCTGATTAAAATGATACCAAACATAAGGCAGGCCGTACACCAAAGATGCATCAAACACGCAACATGCGACATGCAACACAACATGCATATATGCAACGTCTGGGTCCCAATGTTTGTTGCATATATCCAGCTTTTACTGTAGATGAATAAACTAGGGACACCGGGCTGCAGCGCCCCCTACAGATCTAGCGCCCTGGACGATTGCCCGACCCCCCCCCCCCCCAACGCCGGCCCTGATTAGAAAATATGTACTTGTATGAATTTTTCTGAAAGCTTCAGAATGCAAGATTGCAAAATTGCGGCTTCTTTCTCTAAATAGCCATTTTCCTTTCAAACACTCAACTATTGTATCCGAATGAAATAAATAGTTTACACATAGTAGAATAGAAATATACTAACGAGCTGGATGTACCACAGGTGGATGTACCGGAGGATGCAGTACGTTTGCTGCTGGTATAGCTTCCAAATGTCCAGCTACTTCCGGAACTGACGCCTCGTAAACAGCAGCTGGTTCAGGATGATAATGGTGTTCGTGTTGAAAACCATATTCCAAAGTAGCTAAACCTCTCTTATCGTGTTTCCTTGCAATCAACGGCTTATTCTTCCCGTCTTTGTTAACAGTGATTGCTGTACCGACTGCTAACAGTATTGATAAAATCTGCAAATACAGTGGGTGATCAAATTATTAGAGCCGCTCGCGTAAATTGACAATTTTACATAAAAACGAATAATTCTTAAATGAAAACCTAGTTAAACAAAGTTTTTGTTATTTTTTTTTGTAACGTATCGATGCTTGTAAAGTTATGATACACAATTGAAAAAAGTGAAAATTGTTGACTGGCTTGGAAAGTTTCCAGACCTCAACCCCATCGAAAAATTGTGGGAACATTTATTATTAGTAATAAATCGCAATTGATTGAACGTTTGATAAAAGTATAGGCCAGAAATAAAGTAATCAAAATAAATTGCTTAAAATGCATTGAGGCAGTAATTGCAGCAAAATGAGGCGTTAGAAAATACTAACATACAAATGTAAATATAATCTTTTAAATGTATTTGTTTATTTTTATAAGTGTCTTTTTGTATATTATTAGCGGAGGATTATTGATTAAAAGTTATTCAATGTAAAAACCTTAAAATTGTAGCTCTATTTCTACGCAAACACGAAAAACCTATTTTTCATACCGTGGCTCTAATAATTTGATCACCCACTGTTAATGTCTGCAATCAGTCGCTTACATACGTGTATATTAGAACCAAGTAGATTGAAATGAAAAAATTCACTCAACGCATCGTTACATCGTTAAAATAAAATGACAAATAAAATAAATAGAAAGATCAAAGAAACTACGTATACCAAAATAAACTTCATGATCGATTCGTAGGAGCCTAATGCTAAGCACTAGCGTCAGTGTCGAAAAGAAAACTACGTTTGCTCGCTATCAGTGACCTCCTATAAGTATTTATAGGGCAGCTATACCGATGATGATGACACTGAATGGACTTTCGCTGCTTCCAATCGTGGCCGATGGCCAAATAAACGATTGCGATTGCTTTTCATTTCGTGTACGGAAGAGGAAGAGCACATGTTACAACCGGAAAATAGATAAATGCAACGTACTTAGAATGGTGTCGGCATCCGTACAGGTTAGAATCGTGGTCATCGATGAGATCGGTAAGATAGTTAAGCATCGGGCCAGGTGAAAATTGTCTACGTGAAGATTCAAATTAATAAGAACTGCTATGCGTCCATTCGTGACACGCTTCTATTATATCAACCTGCTCCTGCATTTCTTTGATTGTTTCGTTATATTTTTATATCCCAACGGAGATTTTCACTCTTCTCTTGATTTTTTCCTTCAGGAAAAAAAATCAGAAAGACTATAATAGATCTTGACCAAACCTGGTATGTTGGTAGACCTTAACCCCCTCAGTAACCACCTGCAATATTATTTGGTATACAGTAATGCTTCGAAATAAGCAAGTGGTCTCTGCTTCGAAATAAGCAAGTCGCTATCCCCTCTTCTTTGTTTGAAGTCGCCCGCAAAGTGAGAGGTACGAGAAAAGAGTGAGAGGTCCATCAAAGCGCGAAGCCGATGTTTAGGGTAATAAATTTCACGCTCGACTGAGCAGTGACATCGGTTAGTAGAAGAAGGATGGAATATATATAATGCTTTCTCAGTCTGGTATATTTGCTTCGAAATAAAGCATAGTGCGAGAATGAGAGGGCATGTTATATTCTATCCTTGTCCAAAAAATAACATCGCTGCTCGGCCGATCACTTTATGATTTGCCGCTACCTCGGATCTCTCACTCGTTTCTCGCGTTTTCTATCGTCCCGTTTCAAGAACAAAGTCAAGCCGAATAGGTACCTGCTTCGAAATAAGCAACTGTTCGGTCCCGAGCCACTTGCTTATTTCGAAGCATTACTGTACTCTTTTAGTTCCTGAGATATGAACATCCAAAGTTTGAATTTCGACAGTCAAAATTCATTGAAATTCCCCGTAACTAGTCAGAACCAGTTGCAAATGCATGAAAAGCATGTTTCTGAGCAAATGGAGATAAGTCATGAAGAATCAGTCATGTGTTTCTAACATTTATAAGGGTTTTAATGTTTTGTGAATGTTGCTTAGTTGAGTTTGCAGTCATAGTCATGCCTTGTGTATGAAGTCATTTTAGGTTATAAAGAGGTCATCGTAAAGAAACGGATTTTGGCTTTCCCAATCAAGAGAAGAGCGACATTTTTTCTTTCGGAAATTTTGCTGGCACGTGAGCGTAAAGAATGCAACAGTGAGGTATATTGTAATGGGTATTTTTTCGATGTCGAACACAGAAACGATTCAAATTTCGTTTTAGTCTGTATTAATTTCCATTTTCATCTTCATTTTTCAATTATTTTATTTTTCTGTGGCGGACTGTTTTTGGGAAAAGATTTTCCGGGCCTTTTTGTTTTGTAGAACTGTATATCGTGCGCGACCGAACTCGAGGGCAGCCAATAAAAGTGGCGATTGCCAGAACCTCGGTTTGGTCGGAGCAGGGCCGGCATGACCTTTTGCAGGGCCTGGTCAAATCCTATACTTAAATTTCACAATAAGGAATTATTTATTATAAATACAAAGGATGTTACATATATTTTTTGTAAAATGAATATTACATAATTTTTCTCGCTTTTTTCGCCGCAAAATCTTTGATTACGTCATCAAAATTGATTCTATTGAAAGAATAGCCAGAAATGAAAATCGGTCTTGGTTTATTGATGATCGAAGATAATTTTATATTAGTTTCAATTGTGAGTTTTCGTAGACCGCGGGGTCTTTCAAAACGCGAGGCCGGGTTCAGGCGAACGCGGTGAACCTGCCTCGCGCCGCCCCTGGGTCGGAGGAGTAACTAAGTGCCAAGGAAAACGAAGCTAGTGCTTGAAAGTAGAGGGTTATTTTCCCTCCTTCCAATTTTCCTTTGGACGACGGTTTGATTTCGACAGAAAAACGGCAGAAGGTACCGGACAGTCGCCACGAGCACTACATACGTATCGCACCATCAGCGCTTTAATAATAAACGTTATTATTTGTTACTAAGTATTTGAATCATTATGCACTCACGTCACGTCCTAAATTTCCAATAAAGTTTTTCCTCAAGAAAATTTCACTACATAGATTTACCAGTAAGTAGATAGACGAATATTTAAGTCTGGATCCAAATTTCATGAATGAACGGAGTCGAGTAAAAGCGTAAGTCAACAAATGAATTCACGATAATCGTCGGACAAGTTGACTGTCCAAGTATTTCGTAATTGTGCCATGACATTCGTTTCCATTCGATTACGCGTTCACCGATCCTCGTAACTATGAATAATGAATGACGGATAGTAACCGGTAGGCCATTAGAAGTGGTTTGTAAGTACTTATTAGAAAATGAAAGTTAAGAAAGTTCACGAATGCGAGCAACGCGGAAAAGCTACACGTACCCTGCAATGTCTCTTCTGTTGCAGGAAACGATCCGGTTTTCTTTCGTTCTTCATCTCGTTGACCGAGTAGAAATATCCTCACACCAATTGCACCTATGTATGTACAGTGCGCACAGGTCCATTAGACAAAAACAAGGATTATCAAGCTAAGGTCTGTTTCAAACAAATTGTTCGCTTAAATTGTAGAATGTAAGATATAAACTTTGAAATAAAAAATGTAAAATGTAGGACGTAAATAAAATATTATAAGAGAAATTTTGAAATGGAGAGGCATATTTGAAAGATTATACGAATTAGTCACGTCACTACCATTTCATTGTACGTGCTTTGAACGGCTAGAAAATAATTAAATCGTAAGTAGGTAAGTAGTACGAGTCACTTTCAGAATGACCCATAACCTTACAATCGATGATCGTCCAGAGCAAAATTGTCGTTCGTTTCGTGGAATAAAAGCATTGATAAAAAATTGTATTGATAAAAAAAGAAAAAACAAAGTGTCGCAAAATGGTATTTATGGTATATCGACTCGAAGATTAGTTAGAACCTGATAAAAATTATATTAGCCATTCGCTGATCGACAATACCGTCAATATCCGTTGGTTCATTAAATTTCCAGTTACGTCTCGTTAACTAAAAATCCAACTACATTACGCACCAGTGCCGTACATACACGGTAGAAACACGAACCAAATCTTAACTACTTTCTTCACCGGAAACACAAAACTTGTCAATCGACCCGGTCAAGTTCCTGATCCCAACGAACCTGACTTGGACTACCATCTAGATCTAGAATCTCTATTCCAGATCCGACGATCTGCCGATCTATCGATCTGTCGATCGAAGCAGACAGCAAATACTATATAAAGCTACCGTTTTCTCAATTTTACGAACAGTTTCTTAGCGACCGGAGAACAATGTCCATCATTCCGGTAAGCAGCACCCATATCAATCTTCTTTTAAACGTTCTATCTAATTAACTTAATCAACGATACTGTCAACCATAAACAGTATGAGCATTAATGCGATTACTAGCCGATGAGAGAATTTTAATTTTGCAAATTCCGCAATTTAAATAGAGCATACAAAATCAAATTTCGACTTTGTACAGATCGATGTTAAGGGGTTAAGCCACTCTAGAGCAAGAAAAAATAAGCATATTTTGGAAATTTAAAAAAAAAATGATGGTATAATTCCAAATTCTGTAAGCATGCCTTCAAAACGCGAGGCAAAAATTAATTTTTGTATAGTGATTCAAGTCAAAATATGGGCTCGGCAGCTCTTTTTTGTAGGGCTAAACTGTGGCAGCACCTGCAATTTTTAACTTAGGATAAGAAAGCAAAATATTTTCGATTATATATGAGAACAACTATCGAACTACGTAGGATTTTTTTGATATATTGATTTTTGCAAAAATGGCGTATTTTTTAAGAGAAAATGTAAAATTTCAAGAAAAAATCGCCAGAAAATTATTTATAAAAGAACTGCAATATAATGAAAAAATCCTACGTAGTCCGGTAGAGAATTTAGTTTTGAATATACTGTTAAATTTTCAAATCGTTTGGTGATGATCTGTTTGATTTATGAGTCCGATCAGTTTGAAAAATGCGGTTTCGAGAAAAATGCGTTTTCAGTAATGCTCGCGACAGACCGAAAGGGGCTGCACCAGAATTCGAAATTCGAATACTTTAAAGCACCTTTTAAACAAAAAAAAAAAATTTCGATTTTTTCAAAATTCTAGAGTGGCCCAACCCCTAGAGTGGCACCTTTTAAACAAAACAAAAAAATTTCGATTTTTTCAAAATTCTAGAGTGGCCCAACCCCTTAAAAAATATTTTTAAAAATAAAACAACGGAATTGAATTTTCAATTTTAGCTGTTCCTGATACTCTTCTGCAGTTCCGCGCTAACAGCGGAAACGGAAACGGAAGATGCTAAACTCAATAAACGAGGAATCATCGGTTCCGGTGGATGGATTGGGATACCGAATCCACACTCTTACGGTCACGGTCAACCTTGGGTAGCAAGTCCTTCCTGGAGGAATTTTAAGTTCCCCTCCTTTGATTTAGCTCATCATGGGTAATAATACAATTATTCTATTTATTAGCCGACCCGTTTCTAAGATTGAAAATCTTGAAAAGGATGCTATAGCATTTAGACTTTCTGTCATTTTTGCACAGGCCAAACGGTAAAAGTTATCGAAAAAATTCTTGTGTCATTGTGTTTAGTGGGTCAAAATCTCAACGAATGATCGAAAAAAAATTATTTTCTTTTTGCCACTTCCGGTCTGACCGGAAATGGCCGAAAAAGGGGTTGGCTCTAGAGCAAGTCTCGCTCTAGTTCACTTTAGCTTGTTTCATACGAACTTGTAGATCCTTGAAAAATCAAAAGTATAATAGAAACAAATTAAGTACGGTAAATGTTATAAAAATGATCAGGATACAATAAAGGTAAATTGAATATAGGTTGTACGGAGGTTTACCCTATGGTAGAGCACCAGCTACCCCTCTTCCAATTGGCAGGGCAGATTTAGTGAAGCCGGTACCGGTATATATAACAAAACACGTGGTCCTGGAGAAGCCAGTACCCGTTCCGCAGCCGGTTTATATCGAAAAACCGTACCACGTGCCGGTGGAGAAGGTGATCCCTATTCCAGTCGAAAAGATCATTCATAAACCGGTCCCGGTTCCCTTTCCGGTACCCGAGGTAAGAAATCGTTTCTTAATTTATCGCCATCCCTGTAAATTCCCTCCAAATTTCCTCCTCTAAATCGCTTTCATACACGGAATCCGGTTCTCAAACGAATTCGCTTGTCATGTTTACAGGCTGTTCCAGTAGCGGTAGAACGGGCAGTACCGATACCGGTAAAACATCCTGTACCCGTACCTGTACCTGTTCAACAGCCGTATCCGATCCCCGTGAAGCAAGCCTTTCCAGTACCAGTTCCGGTTCCATATCCGATCCCGATACACCCACCACCCATCTCCCTCTATGGTCCAGCTGCTCTACCAGCTGCTTACTACGCTCGAGGATACGGTTCTGGACACGTTTATCCAGCGGTACACGCTCCTTCGCTCTCCGCGCATTTTCTTCATGGATATGGCCACGGTTTTGACCACGGATTTGGCCAAGACTTCGGTCACGGCCACGGTCACGGTTACGCCTATCCACCACTTTCATACGTTCAAGACTACGCTCACGGTCATGGAAACGGGCACGGGCACGGACATGGACATGGGCATGGACACGAACACAAGAAACGAAGCAAGAATTAAGAGAATCGCTCTCCTCGTTATCCAAAGTTAGACTCTTATTCTTCACTTTTTCATTTAAGAGTGTAACGATCCGTTTTTTTATTATTCGTTAGATACTTATTAATTACGTCATCTTACGTGATCGATGTCTTACAAATATATTTATACACCTTTTTCAACAAGGGCATAAGTTGTCGATAGTTAAGTTATTCTTTATGTTGTACTTTCTTGTTGATTATTTGAATAAAGATATGGAACCATGCGAATTGACTAATCGCTATTTTCCTTCTGTATTTATTACGTAAGTAGCTACAAGCATGTAGTTTAAATGAAACTTCTTTATCGTCAGTTGTTAATTCATATACCTTACTCTGTACAATTGTTTGTAAGTCTGATTTTGTAGGCCTGTATAACACAGTACGATAGCTTAAATACAGAATTAGATCTTTTAACTAGATATCTTTTTCGTTTTTTAAATAAATATTCATGAATAATTTAACATCTTGTTTGTACACTTTCTTTCTTTCTTCCTTTCATCCTTTCTTTCTCTTTTATCAAAGCTAAAATAACGGTATTGTATTTGTCAAGTCTTGTAATCAAAGATTAGAACTTTGTTAATGTAGTATTCAAAATACAGTTAATCCAACGAGGAAATATTAACACGATAGTTAAAAATAGATGACATCTCTTAAAAGTTTTCCTCTCTTGAAAACAAGAGATCAGATATTTTGGAACAAGCAAATGCAATATATTTTGCATTGTTAATACACTCAGATTATATACACGTACATATAATTTGTTCAATGTTTATACACTTTGATACATGTTACACTATTGCTCCCATTTCTGTACGTCCTCTTTACTCGTTCGCAACTTGCCATTTAATAAATGCGAGTTCCTTTCTTTGTATCAACATCTAATCATTCCATTATATCTCTATATGTATACATATATGTACAGGGTGTTAAAAAATTATCTGAAGAGCTCTACATTGCTGGATAGATCACGGAAAATCGAAGCGAAATTTTGTGTAGTATTTTTCAATGAGATCAATACTGGCTCAATTTTATATGCCAACATTTAGCCACACTTCGTTGTTGAAAACTGAAAAATTGACTAATCAGCGCGCAGCTTGAGCGGCAAGACTCGCGGAGTAGGAGACTATATTCATTTCACGAGAGTCCATAATTGCGAAAAGACCAGTTTTCGTTCTTTCGTGCGCACCTTCGCCCTGATTCGCCATACTCCCACTCCCAATACGCTTGCGCACAGCGTCGCTGAGGCGCCTCCACGCGGTGCATCTACGCGAAAGTACATCATTTGGAGTGTATAACGGGTAGCACGGTTTTTTACTCACGTGTATCATTCTGTATTCTTCCTACTCAACCGTACTATTGTTTCACCCTGTATATTAAACTCGCGGTTAACGAAGTGGGAAGCGATTAGCGGAGTGGGAGCTTCGAGGGTTGCTAAGTTCCCCCACCATCTTCCAACCTGCGTGTCGCAGTTATGGACTCTGGTGAAATGAGGTATACACGGAAGCGGAGTCTTCGCACCTCGACTCTCGGCGTGGCTCGGCGGCGGCAGAGGCGGCTAGTTTCGTACTCCGCGCGTCTTGCCACTCAAGCTGCGCGCTGATTGGTCAATTTTCAACAACGAAACATGGCTAAACTACTGATCCCATCGAAAAATGCTACAGAACTTTTCGCTTCGATTTTCCGTGATCAATCCAACAATGTAGAGCTCTTCAGGTAATTTTTTAACACCCTGTATATATATCTATATTGAATCACATCGGATCACAATGGATCACGGCGGATCAGATCTTCAAGTCATGTCCATTTGTAAAACTCATTTAGCGATAAAAATAAATATTTGATTCCATACAAGTATATAATACTTATTTAACTTTCATTCGTTCTCACATATTCAAGCGCATTAAAAATAATTCTCTTTTCCGTTACTCTCAATTGTATGGCTAATTTTTTAAATTGTGGTAACGTAGTTTCAAGCAGTTGCAGATCTTCCTATAAGATAAAATCAAGTTGCTGTAATATAAAATTGAACGTTGCGTAGGAACATATTGTTCTTTTATTAGTAACAAACAGTATTTTCTTTACCTGCAAAGTTGTTGGATATCTAGCAATAAAACTCTCCAATACATAAATCAGAGTTTTTTTAACTTTGTCGTTAATGGCAGTATCTAAAGGGCAATCGGACTGTTTTAAATCATTAACACGATCCGATTTAAGCCAATGCATTAGTTCAGGTTTACGCATACGGAATAACCGGAGGTACGCCAACATTGAGCCAGGAATTGGTTCTACTCCAGAGTTTACAAGAAATTCACTCATCACCGTTAAATGTAATTTTCTTAACAATTGCTCGCGTTCTCTTAAACAAGGATCCGTACTGGTCATTAGTAACGGGCCGATCCATAATTTTATAGCATCCTGGAAAGAAAAATGATTAAAAGATAAATAAGTTATTTGTAATAACTTATAATCCAAAGTAACTTTGAACAACGATGCATGTACTTACTGTGCACCGATGACAAGATGTCCCATGAGAAGGCCGCATTTGCATTTGTCTCATGGGACATCTTGTCATCGGTGCACTATACATACCTGTTTGTTATCCATGTAAACAAATCCTGAATGTACGAAAAAATCGGAATTCGTCCTAACTCCATAACTAATAAATATTTGATCTCCTTTCTTGAATTCCTTCAGGGCATAACATTCGCAACAGTCTGACGTCAGGTTAAAATCTGTAGTGATCTGAAACGTACATAAAACTCATCTATGTCTGTAGAAAACATACAATGTATGTCTATAAATGTTTTTATAGACAGGGCAGAGATAAATTCGGAACAATAAATAATATGATAATAAAATATAAAAACCTACTATACTTTTATTACAAATATTTTATTTATTCAAGTTTTGCATTTACCTGTTGAGTATTTTACTTTTCTTAAAACTAAATTATTTAGAAATTTCCAAAAATATAACAACCGAGGAAAAGAATACAAAGAACCCTCTATATTTACACGATATTATTTCATTATTTCCGTGTTCCAAATCTGTCTCTGTATGTACTCCTACACATTAGTGATGTGCGGCCCGACTCATGTGTCGGGTTTCCGACTAGTCGTGTCGGTTCGGAAAAAATCGGGCGAGCTCGGGCGGATGTCCGATACATGCGTGCAGTCGGGTGGCCCGACTGTTTCGGGTCAGGTCGGATAAAGTCAGGCAGATTCGGACGAGCTCCCGTGGGCCGCGATCCAACTCTCATGTACCTACATATACCGCAGTTCACCAGAGTCCATAACTGCGACGCGCAGGTTGGAAGATGGTGGGGGAACGCAGCGAGCTCTCTGCTAATCGCTTTCCACTTCGTTTGAGAGTATTACCAATCAAGGCGAAGATGCGTACTGGAGATGCGCGAAGAACGAAAACTGGGCTTTTCGCAGTTATGGACTCTGGTGAACTGCGGTATATGTACTTACTTGTTAATACTTGCAATAAGCATGTGCAAAATCTGTTTTATGTGGAATTTTGGAATAAGATAATTTTTATACGGAAAAATAATACTTATATCGAATTTATTTCATGCCACCTGTATGTTCATTTTATACAAAATAGATTTTGAACATGGTTATTGCAAGCATTAACAAGTATAGTGCACCGATGACAAGATGTCCCATGAGACAAATGCAAATGCGTGCTTCTCATGGGACATCTTATCATCGGTGCACAGTACTTATGTATGTATGTACATACATACATGAGAGTTGCGTCGCGGACCGCGGCCCGCGGGAACTCATCCGAATCTGCCCGACTTTATCCGACCTGACCCGAAATAGTCGGGCCACCCGACTGCACGCATGCATGTATTGGACACCCGCCCGAGCTCGCCCGATTTTTCCCGAGCCCGTCCGAGCTCGCAATATCGGGTACGCGTACATCCCTACTATCCATGCGTTTAGAAACAGCCTGTAGATTGTAGATGAACATGCTTACTGTCCCGTTCTCATGATTGCACATGTCCCACATTGGAATCAAAGAATGGATCATGCGTGAACCATCTTCGCTTGGAATCAGGTTTTGCCTCGTCATTACTGTAGAAACTGCCCAGCTGGAACATTCGTACATGCAATGTTAGTAAAGCGATAAAATGACAAAATCACGAAATGACGTTAACTAAAAGCTACCAACTACCAGCGCTTAATTAGAGATTTATCCACCGTGTGGATCGTTTTTTTTTTTAATTTTCTATTATTAAAAAAAAGAAAAAGAAAATGATCTGCAGAAAGAATTCGTTTTGTCGATGAACTGAAAGAGTAGTTAAGAACATTGCAAGTGACTTTCGCCTTCGAAAAACAACCGTTTGTAACTGCTTTTCGGACAAGAACTTGACCCACAATTCCGGAAATGGAATTAAAAGAAGATTCATTGCCGTCATCGTCGTGGTCGTGATCGTTCCTTCAACTTTCTCTCTCTCCAAGGAAATGATCACGACTTCACCGTGAAATAAAAATAGCGTTTACACGGGAAAATAACGAACGCCTTATATGGATGTCTGTATTTCAGACAAAGGCTCGTAAATGTACTAAAAGGTTTAAAAAATTAAAAAAAAAAACAGAAAGGGGGGGAAAAAATGGTTGGTCACTTTCTAAAACGCTTAAAATCTATTATATTCATATGCACGAAATAAGTTTACACGATATTATTATTTGAATGATTGTTTGAAAGATGAAATTATTTTGAGGTTATCCGCGAAAAAGAGATATTAAGTTTCAACGTTAGATCGATCCAATGAAAATTTTCTTATGGGGGCAGAAATGGTTTTCAGGATGAAACCAATGGAATAAAAGTAAATTTTCTCGTTTTCTCTTTCTATAGTTATACACAGTTATCTCGCCGCGTTCATCTTTCTGCACACTTTCTTCCCACAGTGCTGCTCAGATGGTCGCAGCAGGACAAACCGACACTTCTGTTGACCAAAAGAAAGCTTTGATCGTATTGTGGAGATCGTTCTAGCTTGTTTGCCTATTAGATTACTTCCTATTATATAAGTAAGGAAATTTTGTCTTCCTCAGCGAATCTAATATGCACACATGCCTTAGAATTAAAACTGTTACAATCTGTTACCTGTAACGTTACCGTCTGTGCTTTTGCTTTTAATCGCCTCGCGTTGGACAACTATAGTCCACACTGGCGAAATAATTAGCGAAAGGGTTAATCTTTTATAAAATAACATATCGCGAATGAAAGATAGATAAATGCAATTCAGTGAATGAATGAAAGAAAGCGTGGATCTATTCTACTACTAATAGAGAATGATATCGTGGTGAAAAGGAAGGGGAAAAGGGAACGCTTGTGTGTTGGCTATTTGCGAGCGGATAAACCGTATGAAAGTTCGGGCTCGTGTGAAAGTGCGCCTGTCCTCTCTCATTTCTCAGGCATTCCCCTTGCGAGCACACTTCTTACAAGCATCTCGGAAGAAGAGAAATATCGCCTTCGGCAACGATTTGACTCTGACTCGTCTCGAAACTTGCTTGAAACCCATTGTCGGTCGACAATAATTAAAATAATTCAATTGCACGTGAAAATCGTATAATTAAGTAAGACTTGAAACGTTAGTTTATTCGTTCGTTTGTTCATAAAAATAAATAACAGATTTCGCGTCAGTGTATCATGATTTTAATTAATTTTAGGTAATTTTAGATATCACCAGGAATCCGTAAGCCATGACCGCTGCTTTCTTAACATCCTGCGCGTTACATCATCTGTAATCAACAATATACGTAACCAGGAAAATGAAAAAAGAAGAAAAGATATAAATTATTCGAAGGAAAAAATTAATACATGTGTATGTATATGCATATGTATATATATAGAGTTCATTGAGAGTCAGTTAATTAGGAAGGAAAGTGCGGTAGAAGCGTGGCTAACAAGCGTCATGGAACAGAACCGCGACTCTGAGAACAAAAGGGGGAAAAAAGGAACAAGAGTAGGAAAAAAAGACGCCTGCGGTGGTTTCGCAATATCACGAGTTGCACAGGATAAGAATCGAGAGAGGAGCAGGAACGTTAAAGCAACCGCTGCACCGTGGGGATCGGGGATCGAGGATTGAGGATGGATGCACAGTCCAGTGCACGTGGGAAGGTCGTGCTATGAATCGAACGAAGATCGTGAGATGTACTATGGTGGGCAACTTTCTACGACATAAGAGTTGCTTCGAGAAGCAACGCGACTTGATGAACCTCGGAAACAATCGTGAAATTGTCACGAACGTGTACGTTTTATTGTACACTGGTGGAATTTCATTCTGGACAATTTGAATAAAAATATTTTTTATTTCATATTTGTGCAGAAAATCAGGACTGGCCCTAAGATTTCGGTGGTCCGAGGCAAGCACCAAAAAAGGGCCCCTTCGCATATGTGACATAAACAAAAGTACCTCGAATAAAATTTGTAAAATTAAATTAAAGTTTGTATAACTAATTTAGATTTGCATTTACATCGATTAATATTGAAGTAAACACAAAATCGTCTTATGGGGGCCCTGGATCTTGGGGGGACCTAGGCGGCCGCCTAGTCTACCTAGGTCCAGGGCCGACCCTGCAGAAAATGTATATTCTATTCTATGCTAAATTGGTAATCTATAATGTTTATACTTATGATTTGGTTTTGTAAATGTTTTAAAATTTTAATTTAGAAAAATCTAAACTATGTTGTTATTTTGAAATAGCCAATCACAGATTAATTTTTTTCTACCTCCTTTGATATGTTGAAATTGTAATATTTATTAAATATTAAAAGTATGGCTGGAAATGGTTTTTTTACTGATTTTTTTTTCTATATCCTAAAATTAGAAAACAATGATTATATATTAAATAATTTGAATAAATGCGAAATTTAAGTAAAAATTTAAGTGTCCAGAATTAATTCCATTAATGTAACTTAAGCAGAGACCAGGGTAGGTCTGGATCCTCGAAAATTGAAGCTGCAAATAGGAATTAGTCAGCTCTACAATTAGAGAAACATTCGTCAACTTGTGAAATCTTAACATCTGTCTGTATGTTTTGTTCGATTGGTAAATGCATAGGTACTTTAACAATTTCACGAAAATCGTTACGATTACAATTGTTAGAATGATTTCAGCAATTGCATTTCATTTCTTCTCTCTTTCGTTCTTTTCTCGCGGTATTTACATTTTCAGCACAACTACCGTTCGCTAAGAGATTGCGAAAGGGATAATCAAGTTGGTAAAGAGAATGGTTTCTCTTTTTTTCATTACAAATTTTTCTTTTCTCTTATCTGCGATTAGATTGATTTAAAGATTCTTTTATAATAACGCGAATGAATTGTTTTTATTTCAATAGAAAATTAAGGGAAAAAAACAAAATAATAATTGTAATCTAATTAAACATGAAATTAAATAATTAAATAATGTACCTAAATATTTTATTTCTTCTTCGATTTTAATAAACAAAAAATGTTTACACGAACCTAAATATTTATAAATCAGTTGTGTAACATGCATAATTAAAAACACACGAATCGATACGATCAAATTAATTACAATTTCTAATACTTTATAACGTACATACCTATGGGAAAAAAAATCTCTTTCAGATCTTCCCTGGTTACTTTCAACTTAAAATTATGTAACAGTTAGAATCGCTCAATGTTTTATGATTCTTTTTCATTTTTACGAAATCTTCGTTTAATTTTTTCACACACAGACGAGCGATGATTAACATTCGTACATGCATGCATGCATGTACTTTTATGATAGTCATTGAAATTTCCTTCTACAATCTATTCGATTGGAGAGACGTTACCATCAAACAGAATAGACATCAATATTATTATTTCGAAATTTTAAATCCCACTTTAAAATGTTCTTACATATAAATTGTTCCATCTTGGAAAATATTTCCAGTAGGAACTTGCGATTATACTCGGAATATAAATACTTATTGTACTTTGGTTTTTAAATAGGTATTTGCATATCGGTAAGAACAAATAGCTACACTAGTGGAATCAATTTTGGACACTTTTAAATTTTTACTTGAATTTCGCATTTATTCAAATTATTTAACACGTTGAACACCATGGGGGTCACCGGTGACCGACATCGCAAATTACACATGCCTGAATAATTAAAAGAGAAAAATAGAAAAACGTTATTTTAAGTGTTACACATACCATAATGTAAAATGGTAAATAATAGAGAGCTCAAAATTTGAAATTTGAAAATTAATTATTTCTATTAATTAGAGCTTCAATACGTCCCATAACAAATAACCATTTTAACCGTGGCGTTCAACGTGTTAATATATGTATAATCATTTATATTTTATATTCTAATCATTGTTCTCTAATTTTAGGGCGTAAAAATACCATTTACAGAAAAATTACAATTTCAACATATCAAAGGAGGTAGAAAAAAATTAATATTTCGTTGGATATCCTTTCAGCCTGTGATTGGCTACGTTTCGTATTCCCAGGCGCAAAAACAGAACCACAGTTTAGATTTTTTTAAATTAAAATTTTAAAACATTTACAACCGAAATCGTATGAAAATATTAAGTATAAATATTATAGATTACAATAAATTTTCTGCAGAAATATAAAATAAAGAATACTTTTTATCCAAAGTGTCCAGAATTAATCCCAGCAGTGTAGAATGATACGCAAATGATCGGGTGTCGTAATCGCGTAGACAGTAGGTTTTAGCGCGAAACATCATCTTCCGGTTCGCGGAATACGTTTATCGAAGCGTATTAGAAGGATCATCTCGGGATACCTTTTCTTTCCTTTCCCTTTCTTATCTTTTCCAAACGAATAGTAAAGAGCCGTTTATCTCTGCCAACATCTAGCATCACCGATCTGTGATCAGCATCGTGAAATTAATCTGCAATGATCCGGTAGTGGAATAGAGGAAGAAGAGAGCGTCGTCCTCTCCTCTCGACGAGTGGCAAACGTTTAGAGCCCAACACATTCTGCTCTCGAGTTTCACCGACTTACTTAGGATGGTGCACGGTGAAAACCGGCGTCAGTACGCGAGAACGATTTGCCGTGAATACAGCAGTAAGCCGTGAGTGTTTCGTTTTTCAAAGTAAATATCGTTCCGAATAGCAAACGAACTAAGAAACAGATTAAAAATATCCTTCGGACGGAGATCTTTTCTTGTTACAAATTGTGACCAAAGTGATCCACAACTACAGAATAATCGCGAAGAAATCGTTGTTGCTGAATCATTTTCTCAGCTGCCAGTGTGCCGTGAAATCGCGGTGAAAATAAACGGAACAGAGGGGAAAAGAATCATTGAAATCATCTGCGACCAACTAGACTGATTTTTTTTTTTTTCTTTTTTTTTAACAATTTAAAATCGAAGAAAGTTTTTATGGTCGTGAAAGTGGATCAACGCGTATGATTTAGTGTACAAGAGTTGTATTAAATATTATATGTAGAGAAAGGAGGGAAAGAAAATAGTTCTGCATGAACCCTGAGGAAATCTTTGGCCTGTGCAACAGGAAGAACGCGATTTTCGTTATCCTGTGTACAGCAGCGATCTGTGTACACCTGTTCTTCGTCGACGACATCGATACGAATAGAGAAAAGAACAGTAATCCCGAGGTGTTTGTCAGATGATTTACAATAATTTTTTCATTTCTTTGTCACATGTTTCTTTCAACTTTTCTTTTTCTCTTCTTTCCTCTGTTATCATCTGTATCGTTACGGTGATATTTAAAGAACGAAACTTGAAACTTTAAAATCTTAGAGTTTTAGAATTTTAGAATTTTAGAATTTTAAAACTTTAGAATTTTGGAATTTTGGAATTTTAGAATTTTAGAATTTTAGAATCTTAGAATTTTAGAATTTTAGAATTTTAGAATTTTAGGACTTTAGAATTTTAGAAGTTTAGAATTTTAGAATTTTAGGACTTTAGAATTTTAGAAGTTTAGAATTTTAGAATTTTAGAATTTTAGAATTTTAGAATTTTAGAATTTTAGAACTTTAGAACTTCAAAATTTAAAAATTTAAAAATTTTAGAATTTTAAAACTTTAGAATTTTGGAATTTTAGAAGTTTAGAATTTTAGAATTTTAGGACTTTAGAATTTTAGAATTTTAGAATTTTAGAATTTTAGAATTTTAGAACTTTAGAACTTCAAAATTTTAAAATTTAAAAATTTTAGAATTTTAGAATTTTAAAACTTTAGAATTTTGGAATTTTAGAATTTTAGAATTTTAGAATCTTAAAATTTTAGAATTTTAGAATCTTAGAATCTTAGAATCTTAAAATTTTAGAATTTTAGGACTTTAGAATTTTAGAATTTTAAAACTTTAGAATTTTAGAATGATTGGACAGAAAGAGGAAAGAAGAGAAAAAAAGGGGAAAGAAGGGAATTTGAAAAACTGAATGCTAGCGATCCCAAGGTGGAAGAGGATGAGATCAACAATTGGTGTTTCAACGATCAACAAGAGTTCTCCGTGTTTCGATCGCACTGCAACGATGTGGAAAACATTATGTCTGCTCTCGTTGACGCTCTTCACGTTCGATTTCCTTCAAGCTAGTCTCGTCGTTCGGGGCGAACCTATTCGGAAGGAGGGCCTGCTGCTTATCACTCGACAAGAACAATCTAAAACTGATCAAGTAAGAAACGACAAAGAAATTTCGCTCATTTCGCGAACGAGCCTCGAAAAAAGCGACGACCAATTGAAGAAAACCAATTTCATCTTGAAACATCTACGTAACACGTAAATAAACGTTAATAGATTCTTTCGCTCTCTATACACATATAGAGAGTAAACGATATTAATTCGCTGTGCTCGTGAATTTCGATGAAGTAACTTAACGACGAATCTCATTGAACTTTCGGTCATTTCTCAGCGAAATGATAAATGTCAAAATGGAAAAAACTGGCTGCCACACTGGTGCCTACTGGTAAATTATAAGAGAAAGAGAAAGCTGGTACCGCGTGTCGGAAAGTTCGAGACTTTACAAACATTTTGCACGCGTATTTCCACGCGTACCCTAAACGAATAACTTCATCAAACAAGTTCCCTGCATTGCACATATACCTACCTACGTAATACATCCAAAATGAACTAGAAAATAATAAGCGATGATAAAATGGTACGTTTTTATTTCCTTGTCGTCTTTGCACGTTCCATAATTAAAAGAATTACGAGCTGCGCGTGAAACTTTCTTTTTTTATAGTGATTGAACCTTTGTCCGCTAAAAATTTACGTTCGCTTCAATATTTTACGTTGCAGTGTTATACCTCGCTGAATAATCAAGAAAGCATTACGTGTCCTACTAATCTTAAAAAAAGAAAAGAAATAATAATAATTTGATATATCGGATCAAAATACCAATATTGTTGACTAGGAAGGGTTAATGGCACGACTTTAGAATATAGGACACGCCCCCTGGGGGCGTGACCTATATTTTTAAGTAGCTTATCACATAAGGTGTTCATATATGTAGTTCATAAGTGCCACAATACTTCCTTTTTAAGTAAAATGGCAGCCCTTTCTTATGTGCCCTGCTTAAGACGGGGACGCCACCTATTGTAAACAATAGAGGGGCGGGATCATGGGGGAGGTTCCACTTGTAGGAGGCGTGGAGGTCGGGAGTTATGGAGAGTCAAAAATCAGGACGTTAGTAGGATAATTGTATTAGGTTAGGCCATATTCTATGGGGAGGGGATGCAGGCACCGCCCCTTCCCCGCCCATGCGTTTGGAATTTCAACTTTCTCGAAGAAACTGAAGAAGCAGAACATACTAGTTCACACGTTATATGTTCACCCGAAAATGCTTCATTCACAAATTTCGAGTGTCCTGATTTTTGACCCTCCATAACTCCCGACCCCAACGCCTCCTACAGGTGGGAGCACCACCAATGTGTCCCCCATGCCCTCTCTATTGTTTACAATAGGAGGCGCCCCCTCTTAAGCAAGGCACATAAGGGCTGCCATTTTACTTTTAAAAAAAAGTATTGGGGCACTTATGGGTTAGATTGCAGTTTCCAGGGTAATTGATCTCGATTATTGTATCGGATAAATCAAGGTCGGAGAAGACGATAGGAACTGTCCCGAGATCGATATCACGTGGCGTTACAAAGTTATGGCCATTTTAAAAAATCACAATTTTTCAAAAATTTTCCGATAACTTCGAATCCAAAAAATAACCTAACCTAACCTTAGTTTAGTTAAGGTTCGGTTAGGTTATTTTTTAACGCCACGTGATATCGACCTCGGGACACTTCCTTAGTTTAGTTAAGGTTAGGTTAGGTTAGGTTATTTTTTGGATTCGAAATTATCAGAAAATTTTTGGAAAATTGTGATTTTTTAAAATGACCATAACTTTGTAACGCCACGTGATATCGACCTCGGGACACTTCCTATCGTCTTCTCCGACCTTGATTTATCCGATAAAATAGTCGAGATCAATTATTCGGGAAACTGCAATCCAACCCACTTATGAACTACATATACGGACACCTTATGTGATAAGCTACTCAAAAATATAGGTCACGCCCCCAGGAGGCGTGTCCCATATTTTGAACTGCAGCCGGGTTAATATCAGATACTTGACCCTTTCAAATGATAACAAAATTAACGATAAAGGGTTTGTCCCCACCCCCCATCTATCAATCACCAATCACCATTTCAATCTCCATAGAAAAAAATTCTTGAGTTCACCAAAAATAACATTATTTTTAGGAGGAAACTGGGGCTCGAGCAGAAGTCAGAGAAGAGGAGGAGGATGAAAAAAGAAGCGAACTGGTGGGCAAATGGCGAAACAACGGGGAGGCTGTCGAGCCAAAATGGAGAGACGGTGATACGGTACCTCTGCTTCCCTTCCCCCGATTCTCGCGATACTCTGCAGACAAGATAGACGCGAGCGAAGAAGAAAAGGATCACGTTCACAGACCAGCCAAGTATCGTCCAAATAACGAACAAGAAAATTCTCTGCGTTCGAGGAAAAACGGTCCGCTGTTTTACGACTACGAGGACTACTACAACGGCGACGACGACAGCAACAACAGGCGTGGATATCGAGAACGGGATATCCTGTCCCGAAAAACAAACAGCCGGTCCTCGAGCAATCAGGAAAAATCTGTTCATCCGAAACAGACTAATAACAGAAGAAACGAACAAGAACATAGCGTAGAGACAGTCTCTGCGAGATACAGAGAAATCTTTCAAGGTCGTTCAAACGATTACGAGCAAGAATTCAACGACGAGGAGTATCTGAAACCTCGTCCAAGAAAAAGGAAACCACCTGAGAACTACGAATTCGCTCTGGTTAAAAATGAAACGTTAAACGAGGAAGGAAGGAAAAGCAAAAGTACCGCCGCCGGCGGTCACTTGTTACAAAACGCAATGGAGCTGAAGTCTCTGTTAAAGATGCAGCAAGCGGAAGGTTTAAGCTTGTCGGAAATCCTTCAACAACGAAATTTCAGCCTGAACGATCTTCTGAACGGAAAAGCTGACGTGATCGATGCTTTGAAAATGAAAGACACCGACGAGAGCGGTGATTACGGGACAGAAAAGGCGACGAAGATCGTGCCGATTACCATCGCCGCGCCCGCTGATAAAGCACAATGGCCAGCCTACCCCGTTAGAGAACCAGCAAAGACGATAAATATTCAGAAAGACGATAAACTTATCGTCTCGATCGTTGATTCGACGAATCGACCATCTTTACGCAAACAACACCTGTATTCTTCGAATCGCGCTGAAACGTATCCAACGAACCTTCAAGACTCGACGACCAGAAAATCGATTGCAACCACTGGTGAACCGTCCGGAAAGCGAATTACCACGTCGATGCCTTTACCGCTGGCAACCAATTCCATGGATCTCTTACAGATCGCTGTCAAATTACAGAACAGCGACGAAACGAAAACCAACGCTCCGGACGACGATGAGATCATGGAGTTCTCCGACTTCACCGATTACAAGAAAGGACGAAACGGTGCGTCTCCTGTTTGGCTAATGATCAAAGACGAGAAGGAACCAGCTGAATCGCAGGGAAAAAACAATCACGAGAACAAAGGTTCTCGGGGCTCCGGGTCCACGTTGAGCATCGAGAAGATCCTAAGTCCCACGGAACCTAGCTCCAAGCTGATCAACAATTTCACTCTGGAAAGTAACCGGCAATTTGTAAAGATGGACGAAACCGGTGATTACGATGCCGCTTCGGAACGTGAATATCAAAACGATGCGCCGCCACCGATCTACCACCACCTCGGACACAGTACTGAAATCAATACCTTCGTCCACGAGGAATACGAAACAACAACCGGAATCGAATTTCTCTCGTCAACTTCGGAAACGTTGTTAAACGACTCGGAGATTAAGGAAAATCATGCACCGATAAATCGTCAGGATTTAAACAGAGAAGAGAAGAAACCTTACGACCACGTTGTATCGGAACTGGAGCCAGAAGCACGGGCAGAAATTTTTGAATTATTCGCATCCGGCTCTGCTGGCAAGAGGCTGGAACGTCTTCTGAAATCGAGGAATATGAGCGTAGAGGAGTTAATCGCGCTACGACAAAGAGGTTCCAGCAAAGTTCATCTGGCCGAGGTGTCACGGATCAAAGTGCACAAACCGATTAGTGACCAGGATAAAAGTAACATTAAAACCGCTCAGACTTTTGGCCCATCTACGACCGATCGACAGTTAATAATGAATCAACAAACTTACGATCAAACAGTTAATAATCACTTGGCAACGTCTCTCCAAAATATAACGAACTGTAATTATTCCACGCAGAATGCACCTATGGATATTATTCGTCCGCAAAAAAGTAAAACCGAAGAAGAATCTTTTTCAAATTTACGATCAATTAGCGATCACGATTCCTGGTTGCCTAATAGTTACAAAGATCGCGACGAGAAAGAAGGCGTTGAAGAGCAGCAGCATCATCGTACCGCGGAAATTATTGATTTGTTAACAACCTTTGCTTCTATGCCATTCGTCAAAGATATTCAGCGAGATTTTGTTCGGGAATATGCTGATAAAGATGAAATGAAATTACCGATAGAGAATAACAGTGAAAACATCGTATTTCAAAATAATCACACTGTTATTCAATCTGGTTACGTGAAAGAAATTATACAAGAGAAACCAGATTCTATAGGTATACGCACAAACTTTGACGAAACGGGCACGAAACAGACCATCAACGAGAAACGAAAAACTCTATCGAACGTGAAGCCTAGCATAATAGCGAGCGGTGCGATTCTCGGTTTAACCATCGTCGTTTTTCTCGCGATATTCATTGTCTGTAGAATTCGACAGAAGCAAAAGTACAGATACAGAAACACCTTTTCCAGAGCGGTATTCCAAGCACCTGTGCTAACAGCCCGGAAGTTGTCCAATTCGAGCAGCTTAAGCACCGTAATGGTCAACGTGGTCGCTACGTCGACAACGAAAAGGCCGGAGAAAAATCAAACCGACCAACCGGTTGCTGAAATGATGGATTCCAAGAGTGACATCGATAATGATTCGTTGGATGCTAACGACAGTTGGGAAACTATACCAGATTACATGAAACAATGACAGAGATTTGTGTAAAAAAAACAAAACATCAGTATTCTACTCTTTACGTTAACCCCTTGCCGTACCATTTTCTCAGCATTTGCGTCTGCCAAAGCTAACTCACTGCTATAATATTGAGGCAAACAGTGACGGCTCGCGTATAGGCACTGTGGAACTGCAGCACCCCCTATTTCCACTTGATATTATCGATAACATTTAATATAATGAGTCCTTTTTTCTTTAATTCTTTCTTTATACTTGTACAATATATAATCCTTAAGATTAATGTCAGTAGCCATCCCCCAGTTTATGAAAAAGACACAAAAATCTTTGTATGGAACTGTGAAGCGCACAGTTCCAGCAGCGTGATGTTTGACTGTGCGCGCATGCGCACATAGGAAACTGCGCGCGAGGCTGCGCAGGAGAGAGAGCACTGAAGCTCTCGCAGTGCCGGTTTTTTAAAACAAAGGCTAAACATTTTCTGGAGCAGCTAATTTTAGCTACGAGCCGCCACTGGAGGCAAATTAAGGAAACTGAAATATTATCCATGTATTGTATTTACAGATTCCCGGTTGTGTAAATTCTAATTGAAATTATACTTCAAATTCAATTGTAATACAGATACGGTTCAGTTTTGTCATATTAGAACTGTAGGTGCGTCACGGGTCAGACTTGTCAAAGTACGGCAAGGGGTTAATTTACATTCTACGCGTACTAAAGGCTGATTGCATACTCTGCAAATGTACCATAGCATAGGGCATCATTGATAGACCGTTCAATCTTAATATTCTGACTATGATATTTGTCTGTGGCTCTACAGACAGTTTCATGCATGTTTGTATATACATACATATATCGTTGTATAGAGTTTCTTGTCAGTTTCACTCTGATAACTGATCACATTTCAATTAAACTGACCAATTGTAGATTAAAGTTAATATACTTCTCTTACGTAAGCCTTATTCCTCGTCTCATATCTAAGTTTTTTCCAACGTTACAAGCTTTTATACATTTTTCTCCTTTTGTAAACTTATTTTTTACACGCGTACAATAAACTATATTTATTTATTTATTTATTTATATTTATATAAATTCTGTATTAGACTTACTCACCAGTATCTGTCGTATGTAAAAACATCCCTGAGTACAGCAGATACAGCGTTATTGTCATTTTGAAATATCTTATTAAAATAGGAATACTGTCGTGCGATGTTTCTACACTGTTTCAAAGCGGCCACTGAAAAAGTAGATTTCCAACAATTTTATTATCAAATTATGCCTATTAATTATTTATCATTTATAATAAATTCAAAGAAAGAAATACAGTAGTGAGAATTAATATTCACCTAATGTAGGGCTGCCTTTAAGTTCGATCATATCAGCAGCCGTCATATACATCACAGTGGTGTAAGTAGTAGGAAGGATATCCAAGTAAGCTTTCCATTTCGAATTTTCTTTGTGTCTCTCGATAAGAAGCGCAATCGCAAGTGCCACTTGAGGCATATCTTGTATCAACGGATCATTTTTGAGAGCTGTCAACTCAGGCGCCGCGTTTACGGTATTGAAAATAAGATTCCTTGGTATCTTTAAAATCAATTCATTTTCAAGAAAATCACGCTCAGCTTTCAAGCCCAAATCGTATCCTGGAAACTCGGCGACGCTCGCTCCGTCAACGTTCGCGTTATTTTCTTTCAGCCAATTTATCAACTGTCCAATCCCCTGCGACCGTTTCGACGACTCCGTCTTCATCTTCTCCAACCGTTTAATCTTCCCCAATACTGTTATTATCTGCACGTAGTTGTTCCATACTTTCGTCTGATCAACTGAATTAGTACTCACTGTTTCAAGCAAATGAAAATTATTATACGTTTCAAAGTTTGCATTGAAAAAACATCTATGTAGGTATACATATATGTATTATTCGCCACTGTGGAAGAAAATGTGAAATTACACAAACGTTTTCTTCTTTTCTCCTTTCCTCTTTCTTTCTTATTCTCAATTTTCAAAGGATCTTGAGGTTAAGTAAACTATGCGCACCACCTACTTTACCTGTCTGCTTCGCTTTAAAATTCATGAAATTATTAAAAATTTACCGGTTAAATTATAAGATTTCTGTTCAGTTTCAATTACTGTAACAAAATGTAACGTTGCCATCTATTTTTAAGTAACATTTTACAATGATTTTAAAGTAACATGCAAACGGTTAAATTACATATACATATATCTATGTATGTATGTACAACAAATGTATTCTACGTTAAAAGGAATCCCCGTAAAGTGTGCTTACGACGAAGTAGTTCTTCACACAAGGCATTTATCTCTGCTCTTCTGTCCATCTTTGGATTACCTCACTACACTTTTATCTGTTCCACTCTATTCCCTTACGTATCCTTGATTCCACGAAAGAACATATTTCCTTCGAGCAGTTCGACCAAACTCTACCATTTGCTTTTTACCCCAACGACCGTATACATGGTGGACAAAAATATACGAAAAGCCGAAGGAGATTATTGTGTATGTAGAAGGTAGAAGTGTAGTAAATAGTAAGAGATAAAAGACAGCTGTATGTGCACACAAGCGTTAGAAAACAACGCAAGTGCGCTTGCCTTTTACTCCTGGTTATATTGGTTGCAGCACGTATTTAAAACCAATTTAAACTAACGTGCGCAATGCGCAATGCGCAGAATGAACGAAAACTGGTCGTTCAAGAAACATCTTCTTCCCTGGAATGAAAATCCAAAAATATATTGTATTATAATGTGTAACCTACACCTACGGTTGCTAAAAATAAACACTTTTCCTCGAAATAAAAATAGGATATTTCATACTATGTCCTTTTAAACTCACACGACATAACCTCGAAATAACAGAATTTGGCTACTTCAAATCACCAACTTCACTACATTTCGTATTGATTTTTAACTCTTACAGCTCACCTACTTTCAAGATTACACTAAATCAAAAATTTGTTGCTACATCTTCATCCCTAAATTTTCATTGTTTTGTCAATATAACAAGAAATAATTTTATTTCACGACTGTAATTATTACGTCTTGCATATTTTGTGTACAAATATACACTTATAATTATATACATGTGTGTATGCATGATTTATGTATGATGTATGTATATATATATCTCTCAATTTAAATGTATTGTTTTTGTACATTTCTTTAAAATTTTTAACTATTTGTCAGATACATATGATGATGACGAACAAAATTGTAGTAGCATAAAGCATAAATGAAACAACTTTTCCTTTCTGTAAGATCTGTATTGTACAAAGTATGCAAATAAACAGGAGATATATTCATCAAATTCTTAATATTTTTATATTGCCTTTATGTTATATCTATAAAGATATATTAAGGGGGTTTTAAAACAAAATGACACGAATGATACAATTATTTACAAATATAAGATAAAAATTTAGTGCTCTGCTGTCATTTGTATACATTTACAGATACATACACCTTATTTGTAACAGAAAATTTTGTTTAAATACACATTGCATTTTTAAGACAATGGTAATGTTAAATTATATGAATCAGGCTGTGAGGGACAGGAATACATTGTATTCATGACTGATAAAATTAAAAAATTAAAAAATTGTTAAAATCCAGAAATGAAATGATTGAAATGCGTAACAAAATGAAAATTTGTATACAGATTTAAAGATAGTTCTTAAAAAATGATCTGTTAATTGTTTAACATTTATTGATTTAATATAAAATTATTCGTAATACTCGTATCAATGCTAAGAATCATGAATATATATTTATATATATATATATATATATTTGTATATGTAATTTCGTATTATTCACATTTCATATTTAACGTAAAAAATATTTTCTCTCACACCATGTATCCCAATTTGACTGACGTACACCCTGAAAACTGGAAATTCTACACGGTATAAGGAATGGAAATAAAAATCCTTTACTACTTCACAAATTTTTGAATATAAAAATGCAACATGATAAGATTTTCCAATTTCTTTTAGCGTGAAGAACGTAGAGTAATCACGGCGTATACCACTTTTCGGATACTTTGTATATTTAACTCGGTTAATTAGGAGCATGTCTTTAGAACCCCCTTAATTTTTATAAATTATTTCATTTGTGTGTACAATTAAAAATAACGTAATAAAATAATAAGAAGAATTTTCACGCTGCAAAGTAAGGTAACTAATTGTAAAACTTTTTACAAAACGCAACTAATTCGATGCGCGGATGAAAAACGTGACGTACTTAAATAACAAATTGATATAATAGTTAATATCACCTGAAAATTTTTCATTTACCTAATATTACTTCTTAAATTAATTTTTTTCAATATTATTCAGAAATTATGTACGTAACTCTTCCCTTTGAATAATTACAATTTTTCAATATTCTTCATCTTTATTGTTTCAGTATGAAATCTAATTTGACATTGTCCTAACAGTGTACATACATACACCTACTTGTTAAGTAAAACAAAACAGAAGAAAGAAGGAAGGAAAATAAAGAATTATAACATTCGACAGAAAATTTAAATATCCTTGTTAAGAAATTTATCGTAATTACGCAATTTGTACCGAGTACAGATTAATCACTACATCTTTATAATATTATATCGTATAGAATTATAAATATATTACACATTCTACAACATTACCCACAAGGTTCTCCGTAATTTCTTTGCAGCGGAAAACTCGTATCTTAAATATTTAAAGATACACATGTATTTCAAGTAATGTATAACCGTTATTTATACAGCCTAACCACTAAATAGAGCCTTATACACCACATGATTTCGTTTCTTTTACTTTTTTTTTCGTTCTTTACTGCTACCCCTCAATAGAAACTTCTTCGAAATTTATCATGTATCATGAAATAAAAATATTTCTTCTTTTAATTCACTATCGAATGTAAAAGTTCAATATTCGTAAAAACTGAAAATTCTATACTTCATCCCCTTTAATAAATGTGCGCGATGATTTTGTAAATCTTAATTTTATATAATAATTATCTTAAAACATTTACATTCATTGTATTTTTTTTTCTTTTCTTAGATGAAAAATTTCTCTTCCATGTTGATACACGTTGAAGTATAACCAAATAATTTACGGACACACATTAAAAATATTGCTGTCTACAAATGCTAAGACTTTCTTTGTTCAAATGATTTATACAAGGATACCAGCCTCATTAGATTTTGCTTGTCATCCAAAATAGCACACAATGCATTTGTGGTCCCCTGTTTTTATCATTCAAATACTATTCCCTCTTTAACAACGTTTCAAGAAGGAGTTGAAGATAGAATAGTATTTTTCACTACTATAGAGTGTATCGTCGGTATTTAAGGGGAACTGTTAGAAACTACAAAAACACATAGTACATGAATATTAAATTACTTTTCATCCAATTCACAAGTACTGGAATAAATTGTGCAGACACTATGGAGTCAAATTTACAAGATTTCTATTTCTCCTCCTGTATCGGAATATTCTTCTTTTTTCCTTGTAGTATTTGTAACAGAAACACTTTAGTTCATCTTCTTCTATTGCGTAGCAGTATCTGAAATGCTTTGTCGCCACGTAGCATGGAAAGGAATTTTCAAAATTTTAACTCTCGTTTTAGGCAATGCGGTTAGCAAAAGTTTTTGAAGTTGAGGCAACGGTAATATATCTACTTGAGGATTTGTTAAATTTGGTTGTTGTTTATCATCACCTGAAAAGTATTAAATAAAAAAAAAAAAATAAATAAAAAACCAATAAATAAATAAATATATATGTATAATCAGATGAAGAACCATTTTTAATTGATATATATATATATATATACACAGACGTATAAATACCTTTTTGATTGTCATTTTCATCCTCAACATCTTCAATTAACTTCAAACAGGGCACTGGTTTCAATACTGGTATCGAGTCGCCAGTAACTTGTTTACTCATTAGATTACATTGATCAACAAATAATTCAGTTACCCTAAGTAATTCGAGTGTAACACCCCATACAAAATGTGTCAAATTATTTGATAATTCAGTAACACCGCCAAGCACCATATTATTGGATGTCGCCGATTGAGATATGTAAGTGGGTATTATCAATAACCTTTTAATATTTTTACAATTGGCCAGACATTTATCGAAACCATTTTTCACGTCAAAGTTGACTAATTCCATTTGATTTAAATTTTGTAATTTCGACACGCCTTCTAAAATATTAAACGTGCAACACGAACCTTGTCCCTTTTCAAGCCTAAGGCGCTCTAATTTTTGCAATTTTATCAAAACTGTTGTACCAAATTTGTCAGGAAAATCTGAACATTCGCCCAATTCTAATGCTTCCAAATTGACTAAAGCTTGTATAATATCGATTTTCTTCTTTCCTAGTTCTTTAACCGACGTTAAACTCTGTAACGTAAATTTAAATTAGCATGTATCGATTACCATAAATGGTTATAATTCCATGTAAACAAAAAGAGGGTAAATAAAACTAACTGCTTACCAATTGCGTTAATTGTGTCAATTCTTGTAAAGGTGTGAGATCTTCTTGTAGTGACATTCCACTTATTGCTTTGAGCCTCAATTCTTGACAACGTTTCAAATTTCCAATCGAATCCAAATTTAATGAATCACATTTTATCGACATTGCACTCAGTACTTCTAATTGGGGACAGCTTTTAATAACTTCTTCGACAACCATCACAGGGCATCTACACAATTCTAACTTGACCAGGCTAGTTACACGTGGTATTACTGACAAAAACTTTTTCCAAATGCTATCAGATTCCCCTGCTACAAGCATCTTCCGGAGATCTAAATGTTGGGTGCCTCGTCTTTGTAACGTATCCGCTAAACCATCCCAATCTGTTACTTGACTATTTTTCATTCGTACAGTCTTCCACAAAGAGGGATGCGCGGCCAAGTCTCGCCACATTTTACAAACTCTTGCAGCGCGTAGCAACTCTTGAACCTTCAGATATTGAAATATACGCAGTAACGCGTGATAACCGGCACACACCGAATCCATAAAATGTTGTTGTTGATGTTCTATTTCCTGTTGATTTTTTCTCCTGAAATTATTCAAATAAAAATACCTTTAGATCATTTCTCTCAGTTATACAGGGGCCTGGCCTATATATAATAAGGGTATCTCGGTTATTACACGTTAATTATAATTTCTTTGAAATAAAATCTTAACTTTACACGTTACTATATTCGGTATTTTTATTATTTCCCTCATAAACGTATATACATATACCTATACATACATAATATGTATGTGTGTGTATATATAGATATATATATGTACACTGAATTTTTAAAGAGGCTCTTAAAGGACCAATGATTTACAACAATAATGCCAACTTTGTGATGTATCAAATAAGAAACAGAAGTATAAAAGCCTCTGAAAGAAAAGTGTTGAAAGTGTTTACATTTTAAAATAGCATAAAGATATGAAAATAAAAAATAAACATAAATAGGGAATAGAAATAATGTGGAGCAAGGAGTCTAGGATGTTTTTGGGAAAACGCACTAAGAGTTTTTTGTGTTTCAGCTCGCACATGTCTTTATATCTGTAAATATAAAAAGTAAAAATGAATTAGATTTTTTTCCACTGAAGCACTTATCAGTAGCTGTATTTGTAATTGTAGCATGAATGTAAATAAAATTATTATGTTAAACTAAAATTTTATATCTCATTTTTAGTGAACAATTTTCGAGTAAATAAAAGAAAGATAACTTTTATTAAAATATTCATAACTTTTACTTTGATACTACAGTTACACAATACCTGCAAAAACCAACGATACGTGATTGTTTTATTCATTTTTTTTTTGTTTTGTTTTCACATGTCTGAAAAATTTGGCCGCATTTCTAAGAAGCTAAGGCAGTGTGCTTCGATCACAAGATAAAATCAAATTCATTTTTCACCTCGAACTTTTATATTTCCAAATATAATAAACATCGGTATATATTGCATTTACAATACTATTTAAGTAAATTTTATATACGAAATAAAACAAATAGTTGCCTTTTTATCCTATTTCTTTCAATATTATCTAGAACTGTACAAACAGTCTTGCAAAAATTTACTGAAATATTAAATAAAATGAAATAGATTTCTATTTTATTTCAATGATATAACGCATAAAATTAACCACCATAAAAGTAGTCCATGTATCTTGTAAATACAATATGTACAAAGCAACTGCCAAAACCTCAAAAGAGAGTTGCCTTAACTTATTTAAAGAAAATATTTAAAAAAGGAAATAAACAAAAAAAGTATATATATATATATATATGTAATGTTGTTGTGTTTGAGAAACAAACACTTACTTGCTACTTGTTTTAATTGTACCCAAATTACTTAGAACAGACTGATGCGAATCTACCTTTGGTAGATCATTTTTATTAGTTGTATTTGTTATCCTTTCGAGTGATTTACGTTTCACTGATTTCTTCGCTTCTAACGCAACATCTGTCGTCGTATTAGACAAATCATTCTGAGATTTATTTTCAGCCAATATATCTGTTCTAGTATTATTATTATTGCACATTTCTTCTGTTTCCTCTACTTCAGAATTTGGTGCAGTTTCGGTATACGATACATTTTTCGACATACTTTTTTCGGGTGATTTATCAAGGATATCTTTTCTCAATGATTTTGTTGATAAAGAAGCATGTGACTTTGTAAGCATAGAACTTTCAACGGTATTTGATATATCGGTAAGCGAACCATCCTGAAGTACAGGAGGTTTATCACCAATTTTGTCAGGTTTTACTGTTATAGCTGGCTGAACAGCCATAGCATTATTTTTTGGTACAACGATATACCTTTTACCTCCCATTAGAGCAATATTTTGTGCTGGTTTTGGTATAGTTCCATCGTGACTTTGTAAGAATTCATTTTCTGTCTGAGGAAACCAACTACTCTCTTTCTTATCTAAATTCGAAGGAAAATACGATGTCGTCGAAGAGGATTTTGTTACTTTAGTACTATTTCGCGATTGTGAGTCCGCACCGTCAGATTTCGGAATTCTCTGAAGTTTTGGTGGAGTTAAATTTACTTGATGTTTTGATTTTGCACTCTGTGCGCCTAGCATACTAATCGGTATCAATGGAGGAGGTGTTAAAGATGGATTTGTTTGAGATTGCTGAGATTCATTAGTGTCCTGCTGACAGTTCTACAACAAAATTAACATCTATTAACTTATTTAATAATGTAATTACACTGTCAGCTATAATATATATTTTTATCTTATTTTACAAAATATACGTGAAAAGAAATTATGTATACTGCTATTCGATTGCATATATACCGTATAAAAAAAATTTCTAATTAAAATTTTCATAAGAAAATAATTTGAAGAAAGGATTATTCTATGTTAAAAATAAAACCTACCTTACAAACATAATTGTCACTTCCTGTAAATTCCATACCATCAACACATTCAGGATGATATAAACAGAGACACACGCGACATTGTAAGCTTGGTATCAACCCCATACTTGTTGAACATCTTATACTGCATGGTTCTTGAACTTTGGGCCTGTAAGATGTGCGTTGATTGGGGAAAGGAATTAAGGAATAAAACACAAAATTTAAATAAGGATTATAAGGATCAAGGGGAGAAAGGAGGATACAGTTATGAAAAATATAGAAGGAAAAGTTTAAACTATTTCAGAATAAAAATTCGAACTTGTAACTACATAAATGGTATACAGCATGCATTTTAGCATTATCAAAACAAAATCAATTTATCTTTCTCATTTATGCCTATCGAAAAAAAATGTATGTATTAAAATAATCAGGAAACATTTTATATAAAATTTAACCAACAAACAAATATTTCTGGTTTAATATAACGATTACTACAAAATTATGTATAAAATAATAAAATAATTTTGTAATACCAATAACTATTACTCGCAACAAGATACTTATTTTATTTTCAACATATATATACATATGTATGTATATATCTCTTTCTCTCAAATACTTTTCAATATTAGTATACAGACACGAAAATATTCGTTTATATTTTAAATAAAAATACTTCTTTTTTTTTTCTTTCTTTATGAAATATAGCAAATGCACATGCTGTAAATTTTTCATTGGGCCTTTTCAAAGCACATTAAACATGAATAATAACCATGTTTAATCAATAAGCATTTAGGATACCCTTGGACAATCTAATTTAATTACAATCATAAAATATAATAAATACAGAAATAATTATGTAAAACACTCGAGTACTTACGTCAGTTGTCTTTTAGGTTTGGGAGGTGGTGGTTTTTCGACAAGTTGTTGACTTCTCCTTGTACTCGTGGTCCGTTGCGGTGGAAGCATCTCACTTTCTTCAGACTGCGATTTTATTTCTGCTATGCATATTGCACAAAAATTCTTGTCAAGAAATAACAATTTTACATACAGAAAACGAGAAATAAAAAAATTTGAATGCTAATAACCAAATTTTGATTTATTTATTAGCGCAAGGATTTAAAATTCTAAAAATTGAAGAAACATCGTCAAAAATCAAAAATAGTAAAATAATAAAAATCAAATACTAAACGCAGCAACAAAAATATCTCGTCCAACAGCGAATAATTAGAAAATACATAATATAAATGCATACTTATTTGCGGAGTTTTTTTCGCAGGCACTTTCACTTTAAATCCAGTTGTTGGAGTTTTTGGTGACTTAGTAGCAGCTTTTGTAGGCACTGGTACAGGCATCGACGAAGGTTCTTCTAAAACCCTCCTTACAGGAGTACTTTTCTTATACCCTCTTCTTCCTGGGGTACCCGATCCATATCCCTATTTTGAAATAAATATTAGTATCTAGTTAAATGTTGTATAAATATGAGATATGAAATATAAATGAAATTACATACTCTTATCCTTTTTGCATCCCGAATAATCTCCTTTTCCGGATCATCCAGACCAAGAGGTTCTTTGAAAAATGTGAAGTTATCAATAGTTAACTCTTTAGTATTAACTATAAAAAAAAAAAAAAAAATAGTATCATTATTTCTTTATTTTATCATTTCGATTTCAAATCATATAACTGATAATACCGATTATCTTTAGAAATTTTACTTACGAAATTCTGCAACTTCTCTAAAACTTCTGACTTTCTTCCCTTTCGGTGTATAGTAATATATATCGGCCATTCTTTTCAGGCTAGAATCGCTACTTGCTCTAAATACCAATTCTCGTTTCCAACCATATTTAAAAGGTTCTTTGAACGCTGGATTTGTTACATCGACAGCTGCTTTCTGTTTTGTACTTCCTGGACTAACTCCACGCGAAATACGGCTTCCTTTAGACTTTAGAGATGTTGCTGGACTACTGGTAGCTGATGATGAATTTGTTGATTTAAACGAAGTTCCATCTGCTTTTTGTACCTCTAATTCAGTCTCCATAGTATTTGGTATTCCAATCGAATCTGTTTCAGATTTATCAGATTCTTTTTCTTTTTTTATTTTGTCTATATCTAACCCATGTTCCGATTCATAACTATGCATTCTACTATCATCCGAATCTTGTTCGTCATCTTTTCTTCCATCATAATTCTTCTTTATACTATATCTAAGCCGTTTTGCCAATTGAGCTTCAGCTACTTCAGCTTCAGCTAGAAGAATTCATGTATTATAATTTGCATAAAAGGGATCAATACATTTATACAAGTTAAATAAGTAAGAAAATATTTTCTAATTAATGTTTTAAATATTGTTACATTATTCTAAGAAATAAATTTATTTTTTCATTGATAATATTTAAAGAAGCATTTGTTTAGACTTAACAATTACTGAAAAACCTTTAGCTGATAAAGTAGAATACCATAATGTAATTTCTGAATGATTATTATAACCAATTAGTTTGCGTGTTGAATATAATAAAGCAATAATTACCAATACCAATTAATTTTTTCAACACATAACTTCCACGCTGCAACTCATTAGCTCCTTGAATATCAAATCCAGTGAATTCCATTGACTCCTCTGAACTAACATCATCGGGCTCCGAAAGCTTTCGCTTGCGTCCTTTTATATTTAACATTGTATCACTTTCAATAATACTAGTTGAATTGGCCTTGAACTTACATAGTTTTTCTCTAATATGTGGTATCATACCCTTTTTTGGTGAACCTTTAACATCTCCATTCACCTCTTGACTGTCCACTTTGATGGTTGTTTCAACTTTATCTTGTGTTTCCTGTAAATCCGGCATACTTCCAGCTTCTAGGTTAGGATTGTCGCGCGCCTCATCGGCGTTCCCGCCATTCACATTGACACCGTCCATTTTGTGGCCCCTTTGGGACCAAACGCTAATTCTACGTACTTCAACGATCAATGCGCGAAGAACGTTACTTTTTCGTTACCCGTCACTTCATCAAGAACTCCATTAAACGTCTCTTCGCGTAAGTAGCCGTGCTACAATCCCCTCGCGTCTGGGTACCACAATCCCGCGCTCATCTGTCCGCGAATGCGCATAACGTACGCGCAAGCACCACTACGCGCTATTTACACAACTGCCAAGATTTCTTTTCATACGATTTTCACCAACTCCTCGTTACTTTATCACGCTAACCACATACTTTCAAACAATCAAAAATAGTATCTTACAACGAGAATTACTTATTTTTCAATAAATGTAACTTGAATTCTTCGAACGAAAAAACGATAAACGCTCCGAGCAAACACGAAGCGTCCATAAAACACAGAACCGGAAATGGCCGAAAAAGTATGCTTAAGCCTCGTTTTCAATATACCAAGTTTCCGACTTAATATTGCGTATACAATATCGAACTATCGATGATTAATATTATTTCAATAACATACGACATACATAATTAACAATAAACAACCGTTGCGGTGATGAATATACATATATAGTTTCGAAATATTGCTCAACTATATATTTTAATACAATGTTCAACATCGTACTATACATATTACACGACACTGCTGTTACATAAAATTCAATTTTGTAACAATTTACTTAAAAAAACGATGTATAAAATCATTGTACTATATTATTTAACTACGAATACTTATCAGAATACAGTTTGTTAATATTTATTTAATATAAGAATGCACCTGTAATGAGTTAGTTAAACCATGACCAAATTATTGCTTATGAGAATACAGTAGTATGCATGCACACACGTAACTACAACTACGCTCTCCCACACCACTGTAAAATAAAGAAAATAGAGAAGATCCGTGGCGCACAGTGAAAACAGTTTTGGAATTGACAGTTTCTGAACATCTATTTTATTTTATTTTATTTTTTTTTCGTTTTTAGTTTTAATTAACAAACGTATTACTTAATAATGATATCAATTTAAAGAAAGTATACATTTTCCCTAATCGTACGTATAAGGTAAGTGTAATGTTAATTTGTACTTTTATCTAGTCATTAATTCGAATTACAATGCAGTCTCAATTTCTTTCAAATATAGTTTATATAATTGATATTTAACGATAATAAGACAAAAATATTTCATAGTACAACGTGTATTCCCTTTATTTGTTTTCTATTAAACTTTTACCACTCGCAAAGTAACCAATATGATGTATTAAATTTAAATAAACGTATTAAAAAAGTATATAGTGAGAATGTGTATGTGTATGTATATATATATATATACACGCGTTAATATGTATATGTTTAAATGTAACTATAAACTTACAACAAAATATTCAAAAAATTAAATAACTTTACAATATACGCAAAGTTTTTATAACAAGATAACTGCTAGATTAAAATTTATGATACAACAGTTTTAAATATTTGGTAGAAATTAAATAAATTGTATCCACCATTGCGTAGAAAGAAACGCATCCTTCAAATGGAGCGTGTTTTGAAAGCAGTACCAGCAGATTTAAGAGTAAAAATGGAGGCACTTGTGCATGATTTAACTTTGGCATTGGAAGAAAGTAATAATAGCGCAAATGTTAGGCGTAGATGGGGTATCAGGAGAAGAGCCCGGTCCACGGGCAACATCCGTAAGTACAAAAGATTAGATACACAGGAAAGCTCAATTTCTATTTTAGTTATTTCTAAATTAAATTCCAAAAGAAAGAAACACTTGAACGATAAAAATTCGATTAAACTAAAATACATATATTCTAATATTTGTATGAAATCAGTTCCAGTCTACTTCTGTAAGGCAGGCAGACGGTTGTTATCAAGATTGTTTTTGTAGACAGCATATTTGGTTACTCAAAGATGTGAAATTTTATAACTCCTTGAAAAGTAATTTTCAATGCATCAAGAATAACGAAGAAAATTTTGAGAATAATCTTTAAATAATTACTTTTTATTTTAGCATCATTACGTATGAACAAACAATCAGATGATAGTTCATCTTCCATTTGTGACATCCATGTTCCAAAAACAACAGCTGCCTCCAAATATCAATCTGACAGCGATGATACAAATCAAACAAAAAGATTTGCACTTTTTTCTAATTCAAACAATGCTAGTAATATCGAAAGCGATTCGGTTAATGAAAATTTTGTACCTAGACTAAATCCAAAGCGTAAAAGAAAATTTAAAAAAATGGCTATTGATACCGATTCTAATCCCTCTACTTCCCAAACGATTGCAATGTCAACAGCGCTTGCAAATAAGAAGAGAGTTCTCAGAAGCGATTGTAAAAATAGATACGAAACAATATGGTAATATTCTCATAACGATATGGCTATATTTCTAAATAATTAACACACCGCACAAGAAATTGTTCAATTACAGGTGTGGAAAACGTAAAAGGTCTTACAGGGAGCGTTCCACGGATTGCGGGATGAGATCATTCAAACCAAACAGAGATGCAAAATCGAAAAACCGCATCAAAATGCAGACCGATGATCCTATTGATTGTTCAAGAATATCCAGTTCAAGTATTTCATCCAGCGATTCAGAAACTGGACTTATCACAAATGACGAAGACAGAGAAGGTATGAAATTTTGAATGGTTATCATAAAATAACGATAAAGATTAACGAAATCTTAACAAATCTTGTGACTTTAGGAGATGACGAACAATCAGATTGGATCGGAGAACCAAGTTGGTGGGATGACAATGAGAGTACTAACGAAGATAAAGTGAATACAGATTCACCGTTCCAAATGATGTTGCATGGAAATTTTGAGCATGCAATCGAATCAAGAAAAAATTACAGAAAGAGAATTCAAAGAATTCGAGATTGGAGCGGAAGAGAAATTCGCGCTGGCCGTCGTCGCGTTGATAATAAACCTGGATATTCGATTATTACATCGGCTAATGAAAAAGTATCCAGATTTTTACAAGATCCAACTCAAAGCGAGCTTAGATTACATCCTATGCGACAGCATGAAAGAGAAAAACTTCGCCGGCTTGCTAATTTATACAGTTTAAGTTTAAAGGGGGACCTAGGCTGTCCAATTTTATATAAAACTCGACATACTACACAAGCCATCTGTGTGGATCAAGTATCATTCAACAGATTTTCGGGTTATAAAAGATTAAGGAGAACCCCTCCGAATTCCCCGAATTCTGAATTAACAATACATAATCAAGAACATCAAATTTCTAGCGTAAACTATAGCTCGCAAATAATTAGTTCAACATCAAAATTGGATACGATACCAGTTCTACCACAGTTCTCTCATTTTAAATGGGATTCGAATAGCATGGATATTGAAATTCATGGAAAACCAAAATTACATGATTTTGATCACTCGAAATCAAGTTAAACCAAACATACCCCTTTTGTTACTTTCTTTTTTTTTTTAAATAAGAAAAATAAATTATTTATGTCTATATCGAGGTGGTGCTTCGCATACAACACTTTTAATGTAAACAATGTATAACTGAAATTCGATGACTACATTATATAGGAGATTATAAACCTTTATTATACATTTTTTATCCATCCGATAATTTGAGTTTTAAACATTTGGTCTCATTTTAATCAGTGTTATATGTTTATTTAACATTTTCTACAACAGATATTGATTTTACGCATTTATTTAATGTATTACATACAAGGTAATACATTATTGTTATATAAGTAACGTTTATTATTTTTATTTCTTTAATTTTATCTATATTACTTATAATTTAACAAACTAAAAGAGAAATGCATTAAAATATCGAATTCGAAATAATTTCTACGGTATCGCGTTTGAAAAATCAATGAACATACAATTTTATTTATGTTAATGTTCAAAATTATCTACCTTCATTTATTTTTTTCTGTGCTGCCATTACATTTTCATTAGCAAGCATTTGAAATTCTTCAAATCGTTGTGAAATTCTTTGATTCATCTTCAAATATTTCTCCATACAATTTAGAGCACACTTTTCTTCCTTCGATTGAACATCTCGTGAAGTGAAATCAGTTATACAGTCAACAAAACAAATTTCTATTAATTTGTTATAGGACGCCACAAAGTCTCGAACCTGAAGTATAAAAATCCTAATCATTTAAAACTTCCATTCTATTTCAATTACAGCACATATAACAATCCTTTAGATACCACGTTAACCACGCATGGTCCATTTACATAGAACTTAAATTCACTCTTTTTATAAATTATAATGTATAAAATCACTATAAATACATACAGATTTAATTTGATCTGAATCCACGTTTGCAGGAATTTGCATTGCCATTGTAATAAATTATATATTTTCTATGGAAAAATATTCACCCAAATGTATTACTGATGCACCTCAAAAGACTAGACAAAATATTGACGGGAATGACTTTAAGGTTAGAATAAAACTGTTCTCTAATAAAACACGTGTCCGGCGTCCGGCGTAGTGTTATTCGTTCAAGGAGAAACCATAAGGTATAGAATAATTGATTCTCTGTCGCTATATATTTCAAAATGAATCGTTTAAGTCTAAATTATATACATAACATTTTATATTATACATATATATAACATTCTTACAAGATAAAGTTGTTCAATTTTTAATTAACTGATTATATAGTACATACATACTTATTTAGTTAAAAACTTAATTACTAAAAAATAATTATTCAGAATAATTGAAAAAAAAAAACGATATATCGAATAAAATTGAATGTGTATCGAACGTGTATCGAACGTATATCAAATCAAAAGAAAAACGGTTTATCGTTATAGCGTGTAAATTGTGAATATAAAATTTAAAGCTATAGTAGAAGAAACGAACAGATGTTCATGTTAGTAGTTGACCGGTATATTTAGACAAAGTTGGGTCTTTGTTCCGAATGCATCGAATTGTTTTAAAAGGTAAGACGATAAACTGTTATGCTTTAGAATTTTATCACGCGTAAAAAAGATTCAAAAATATATTTTTATATATTTCGCCTTCCTCGTGCAAAGTTCTCGGATCCATTTGTGCTGTTTAATAACGTTACATTTTATGCTTAACCGTTGAATTTAGTAACGTAGAGAAGACAGCTGACAGATGGGGGGTTTGTAAAAATAATAAAGACATGAAAATTTTTGAATGCAATTCAAGTGAATTCAAGTGAAACAAACAGAGCTAATAATGTAGCGATTAATTCAATTAGTGATTATAACAATTAGTTGTTGCGTTTACGGGGTGTTGTCCGGAAAATTCTTTTCTTCGTTGGTAGTCATCAACCAGAATGGTTTATTGATACAATTTTTTTAGATTTATTCACTTTTCAAATGATAATATTATAGCCATCGCAAGTTAATCGTTAAAATTTTGAGGAAGAAAGTAACTTGTAATTGGCATCATTTTCAGGGCCGGCCCTGGGCCTATGCAGTCTAGGCGGCCGCCTAGGGCCCCCATAAGACGATTTTGCGTCTAAGAATGCAAGAAGAGTAATGTTTACTTGAATATTAATCGATGTAAATGCAAATCCAAATTAGTTATACAAACTTTAATGTTAATTTCATAAATTTTATTTGAGGTACTTTTTTTTATGTCATATATACGAAGGGGCCCTTTTTCGAAGCTCGCCTCGGACCCCTAAAGTCTCAGGGCCGGCCCTGATCATTTTTAATATAATTTTATTTTCGTGTTGAAATTTGGGCTCATTCTGTAAATGGTACATAAGTACAACGAATGCTATCTTCGGATAAAGTTCCGAAAGCGACAACCCTCCGATTTTTCTGAAATTTTTGCCAAAACTTATCCTTGATTAGAGAAGAAAGTCCCTAAAAGCTTTTTGGCGACAAAGCCTCGTTTGCCCCCCAGCTCTCTTCAAAGTTTTGACAGTTCTTATTAAATATCTCCGAAAATATTGATTTTAGAGAGAAACGTTTCAAACAAAAAATGAAGCTCATAAAAATCTCTACAAAAAAGGTTATACACATTTTTTTACGTAAACTAGTCATTTCTACACTATCGTTGTTATCATTCCCTACCTTACCGACACAGCCCAGTATAATTGGCGATCTGTTCCGAACACATAATCCGCACTTTTCGGCAACGCTTTCATAAAATAATAATAAATTAATTATAAAAATATGTGTAAATGAAAGCGTTACCGGATTTAAATATATAGCCTAACGTAACTTAAATATATCAATAATAATTATACATATGTACATGTATTGTTCATAACAACTAAAATAATAGGTTCACGTAAAAAATGAGTATAACCGGTTTTGTAGAGCTTTTTATGAGCTTCATTTTTTGTCTGAAACTTTTTTCTCTAAAATCAATATTTTCGGAGATATTTAGTAAGAACTGTCAAAACTGTGAAGAGGACTGGGGGGCAAACGAGGTTTTGTCGCCAAAAATCCTTTTAGGGACTTTCTTCTCTAGTCAAGGATACGCTTTGGTAAAAATTTCAGAAAAATCGGAGGGTTGTCGCTTTCGGAAGTACACCCCTATCTTCTACAGATGGCGCCACTATTTCAATTTTTCCTACGTACTTACTTACCTACTTATTTATTTCAATTAATTGATTATAATTGCAATATTATGACTAAATATTTTCAGAAAATCATCTGAAAACGACAAGAGGAATAAGTTATAATTATGGAGGAATTTATGAAGATGTCATGTGATAATGAAAATGTTTATTCGATCGGTAAACGTTTGAATTCCGCAACGAGTAAACGATCACAACCGGTAAAGACCCAAGAAAAGACGTCTGCGAAAGTAACTAGGAGAAATAAAAGTGTATACCCTCCGAAGGAAAAATGTACAAATAATTCCAAGGTAAAAGGATTACACGAGATAAATGTATCTTCTGAAAACGAAGCTGCAAAAGAGATACAAGTGAAATGCAAAGATCCGATAGATCGATTCGTCGATAATGAAAATGACGAGGATCCTCTTACTGTATTACGCAAGGAAATCCAAGAATGGAGGATAAACGAGATATTAACGTGTAGAACTGAAGAAAGGTATACTAGAACTCCAAGCGAACAGCGTAGCTGTAACTATGGTATGTCTAAAGTTAATTAAACTATTAACGAATTTCTATGAATCTTTGTTTGTAATTAATTCTTAGCATATAAGTATTTCTTATTGTTTGCAGTTGCTTCCGGAGAAACCACGAAGAGGCAACGAAGTCCTAACAGTGCTTCTAAGTCCCATAGAACATACGTCGATTACCCAGCGGCAACGTGAGTACTGTTTTGTTAATTCGTTTAACTTTCAATTTGTATACATACCTTGAAATAACTAACTATGAATGTTTAACTAACTGAAATGATAAATTTGAAAATGATGATTCGGTTAATTAATATCGAGCGTGTACATATGTTTGAAAACGTGTAATATTGAAAAAGAGAAAAGAAAAAATCATGAGTGTTTATATTTTATGCGCTTGTTAGGCGCTTGTAAGTTATCGAGTGAGTGCTTCGGTGATTTATTAGAACGATTTACGATGCAACGATGAAGGTAAGTACATTTATAGAAAGTAATTTTATAGTAGTAAGTTATGCAATAGTTATTCGAATTAACATTCGGATATGCGAATGTTTTTGTTATGCACAATAAAACGTGACCAAGTCAATTGCCGTGCATCAAACGAGCCAAGAAAGAGGCTCGAGAGTATCTTATGTAAGTAACTGTAAATGAAGAACGATGGGAGAAACACAGTTGTGTATCTTCACAGTGCATACATACTTACGTATGTATTTACGTATATGTACACACGCGTAAGGGAAAGACGTACGTCATTCTGGAATTTTCGAAAGTTTCGTTCAACCGGTTTGTGGTTGCAGAGAGACAGTAAGGCCCCTTTAATTTGCAAGTATTTGTATTAAAATGAATTCTGAGTAACCCGTATACATATGCATAATAACTTTGTTAAACATTTTCAATAAATACATACAATGATCAATCGTTTAAAGTTTAACGGGTACGTACATTTTGAATTGGGCGCCATTTTGATGCGGTTCATCGTAACGTGGACAGTTAAGATAGCCTGGTGACAAATCCGAGAGTAGGAAGATAAAATAACTTTTTCTGGTATCATAATTTTATTAAATCTTAATACTAATGCTATAAGTAAATTTGCAATTGTGCAAAGGCGTGAAAAATATGTACCTATGTATGTATGATTTTTTGGTTAGATTGCAGTTTCCCGGGTAATTGATCTCGACTATTTTATTAGATAAATCAAGGTCGGAGAAGACGATAGGAAGTGTCCTGAGGTCGATATCACGTGTCGTTACAAAGTTATGGCCATTTTAAAAAATCACAATTTTCCAAAAATTTTCTGATAATTTCGAATCCAAAAAATAACCTAACCTAACCTAACCTTAACTAAACTAAGGAAGTGTCCCGAGGTCGATATCACGTGGCGTTAAAAAATAACCTAACCTAACCGAAGCTTAACTAAACTAAGGTTAGGTTAGGTTATTTTTTGGATTCGAAATTATCGGAAAATTTTTGAAAAATTGTGATTTTTTAAAATGGCCATAACTTTGTAACGCCACGTGATATCGATCTCGGGACACTTCATATCGTTTTCTCCGACCTTGATTTATCCGATAAAATCGTCGAGATCAATTACCCGGGAAACTGCAATTCAACCGATTTTTTATATTTCATATTTTTTGTAGTCGGAAGGAAAGCTTTTGAATCCGCTTTTGAGGTAGCCCAGCTGCCAACTTAACTAGACGCCGCGCCGTTGTAATTTCTTGTGCAGTACTGTCACGAGTGAAAAATGATAATGAGTGTAGTGCTGTAGGTTAGTGAGAACAATAGCCACTTACGCTAATCAAGAAAGACGTATGCTGGGCATGTTCGGTAGTAAAAATATTTTCGGCGATAGTTCGTGCGATGAATGAGTAATAATAAGAGATTGCCGAATTTGTCCCCGACCATGAAGCGATTCCCTCGTCGTGACTAAATTTTTGATCTTATATACCATTTGACCATCTGACCATATGTCATTTTTACTTATGCCAGGCTCGTACATGCGTATCGAGGCTTTGTTGCTTGTCGAGTCACGAGCCTCGAGGACATTCGTCTTGAATACCCTCGAAATGCCCGATCATTCCTCGTCGCGTTAATAATGTAAACGAAACATAAAAGCTTTACGAAGATTCAAGGTCTACGAGGAAACAAGACTTCAAGTGCGACCAGCTCATCCGGATAATGATGTAGGTTAGGTTCCCAGCGGTACATATCGCAAAAATCAACATTCTTCGCGAAGCCGAGGTTCGCAAAAAGAGTGTAAACCGGTTTGCCTCGTAAATGGCACACGAGCGTGCGAACGGGAGACAGAGGCGAAGGAAAAGAGCAAGTGAGAGTAACGAAGGTAAAGGAAAGAGATCTT